TTATTAGTATACCAGCATTTTATTCAAATAGTATATTACCAGAACTTCAAAATCAAGACCGTATGTTGATTATTTATAAATTCTATGAAAATAAATTTTTGTCTAAATTTTAGTTAATAGTCTTCCATTAATTAAAGCTGATTGTTTAAAATTTTTAATTGATGTTCGAAATCAAATTGATCGTGATGCATTACTTATTTCAATACCTCAGTGTATTCGATATTTATCATCAAATAATATTGTTGTACAAACATATGCAGCACATGCTATTGAACGTTTATTACTTGTTCGACTTTCTACTGATCAAAAATTTGCAGCGTTAGATTTTTTTAATCAAATAATTCAATTTCTTTTTTCTTTCATTTATAGAATAACAAAAAATGATTTAATACCTCATGCTCAAACAATGTATGATAGTTTCTTTCGAATTTTAACATCGGATAAATCATATGAAAATGAATATGTTATGCGAGCTGTTATGAGATTATCATCATCACTTAATGATGCTGTTTTACCTTATTTAAATTATTTAATCGAAAAATTAGTTATGATTTTACGACGATCATGTAAAGTAAGAAAGTTCAACTTGTCTTGCAATTATTATAAAACACGAACTTCAAAAAATATGAATTTTTTTCATGTAAGCCAGTCTAGTTGAGTTCTCTATGTGAATAAAATTTTCAGATCGAAATTCTAAAATAAGAGTTTGTCAAGTATATGAAACCTCTACAAAATAGACATATAACCTAGTCAAATGTCAATAGGAAATAAAAATTTTTTTATTAGAACACGATGGAGTATCTAAGGACAAAAAAAGTCACTAAAATTAGAAAACAACATCTGAGAAAGTTGCCTCGTTAGTTTTGAAATTGAAATCTCTTGAGTAATTGTTTGATAAACTACTAGAAGAGAAATATATAAGTTCCTAGTTAAACTTCAAAATCTCAAGAATCATATTCATTGAACTTTTTGATAAATCGATTTAAGTATCTTTTAGGTCTATGATTTTTACTATGAATGATAATCTATAATAACGCAATCATGTATTACTTGATTGATTCTCCAATAACTTGAGTTATTCAAAAGCAATAAAAAAAATTGTTGAACAAATACTAATTCGAGAATTTCTTTGACGAACACGCATCGAAATCAGAAATGTTGTCTTCGCCAACATATATTCGTTTCTACATGTGTCGATCGGAGAGATATAAGAGTTAGGAATTATTTTTCAAGATAATCAATGTTTTAAATAAAAGATGCGCGCATTTTCAATGCCATCGGGTATATTTTAGCAATTCATTGAAAAACTAGTTGACCTTCGACATATAGAAAGTATCTGCAAGAGAAATTACGTAGGTAGGCATACAAAAATACCAAACAACTAAAATAAAAAAAAAGACATTAAAAATGAGACAAAAAGAAATTATTTTTTTTTATACAGGCACAATCAAAATTAATAATCAAATTAGTAAAGATTGATAACTTGATATGTATTTCATTTCATTTCGGAAAAGTTATGTTATTGACAAATTAATAAGAAAACTTTGAAAAATTTAGTGTATTAGAGTGTCGTCACACATTATTATCCATAGTAAAATTTATAGAACTCAAAGGTTTTAGTTACTCATGTGATTTGAATCGATCTGATCTCTGTTTGGTAGACCTTTTGAAATAATGTACACTATACCATTACTTGTTTTCTGATCGTCAATCTAGTATCGGTGTGTTGATGGTAGTTTGAACAAACGCACAACGTACAGGATCAGTACTGAGGAGGAACACAATGTTTTGGGAAAGTTTCAAAGAGTTTATTAAATGGGTGAACGATGAGTTTTTAAATCGTTTCGGAATTATCTGAGACAGTTCTTACAAGATTGATTTCAACTAATTTATTAAATATTTCTTTCTATTATTGCAACAGTTATCTTGTATTATATATTTGAAGTCAATAGAGATATTATAATAATTACCTTTTTTTTTTTTAATTATATTATCTTTTTAAGAATCCAAATAAACCAAATTTTAATCATTATTTATTCGAAACAATAACGGTCTTAATTCGTACAAGTGTATCGAAAAATCCCGGTGTACTTGAGCAATTTGAACAAATACTTTTTCCTGTATTTACACCGATATTTACAGAAGATATTGCTGGTATTTATCTATCTATATATATATATAATTAGTTGTCTTATTGAATATATTTTGTTTAATTTAGAATTTGTTCCATATGTATTACAAATAATTGGATTTTTATTAGAATCTCGTCCATCAGGATCAACATTAATACCTGATGCATATCGAGCATTATTTCAATTAGTACTTACACCATCATTTTGGGATCATAGTGGAAATATTCCAGCATTATCAAGACTATTACAAGCATATATTGAAAAATCAGGAGAAACAATTGTTGTTGAAAAATTAGTAAGTCTATTTGAGCATTACTTCGTTTTTTTTTAATGATTTTTTTTTTATTAAAATGTAATTAAATAGACGATTGTACTTGGTGTATTTCAACGTCTTGTTTCTCAATCAAAAATTCATGATCATGAAGGTTTTGCAATATTAAATTCCTTAATTATTAATTTACCATCAACATGTTTAAATAATTATTTAAAAGATATATTTATTGTTATATTTACTCGTTTAACAAGAGCCAAAACTCAAAAATTAATTCGATGTATCATTGTTTTCTTTTCACATTTTATTATTAAATTTGGTGCAAACGAATTTATTACACAAGTTGATTCTATTCAAGCAAAGTAATTTGTTTTATTTATTTAAGAAAATTAGAAATAAAAAAATCAAATCAAAATTTTCTTTTCAGTATGTTTCAAATGGTTGTTGAAAGTTTATTTATTCCGGAATTATCAAAAGTTGATGAAAATGATAAAAAATTATGTGCAGTTGCAGTAACACATTTATTATGTGATCCTGAACAAGTGACAAAAGGAATTTATTTTAATCATTTATGGTTAAAATTATTAAAAGCATTACTTGCCTTATTTCAATCAAGTAATGATTTACAAATAATGTCAGTTGCTGAAAGAAAAAAACAAGCACAAGATGAAGCTGAAGAAGAATTACTTGTTGGATTGGATGATACACCAGGTTATTATCATACATTTTTTTAATAACTATTTCACATTACGGAATTATGAAATTATTGATATTTTCTTTTTGAGCAGACTAGAATCCACAAGATAAAGTTAATTAAGGCTTTGCCCTTGCATATAGTTAAGAGAGTAACCGTGCTTATCTATGTTCAAACGGCTGAAGATGCAGGATGATCAAAACGTCAGTTAGCCGAAGAGTAAGGGTTATCCATGGTTCATATTCTTTAGATAAATATTGAAAAGAACTGTTTTAATGTATTACTATTGACTTCGACGAAGAATCTTTCTAGTTGATAAACAGCTTCTAAACATATATTTCATGAAATAATAGTGGATCACTTGTACATAATAACCTCCAAATGGTTCGTTTTTTTGTGGAGTTTTGACAGAAATGTTACATTTTCGCCTTCTAGAACTTCAATTTTTTGGTAAAACTTTAATTTTAAATTTTTGTTCTGATACTTTGCTACAATCAAAGTTTCAAAGAGACTAACTCATGCGCAAAATGTCAGAATCTTTGCATCCAATAACTGCGAGATCTAAATTTTTCAAAAGCTATGCGTTGTTGCTCCATTGATATTGTGTAAAACGTAGAGATTAACAAAACATCTTATTTTGAAGGTATTGCATACAAAAATGCTGAAGTTTTGTGCATAAGTTAGTCTCTTTGAGTCTTTGATTGCAACAAAACTTTAAAGTATTAAATATAAAATAAAAATTTTATTCAAAAAGTGGACTTCACAAAAAAAAAAGAATCATTTTCCAGTTATTATGTATACATGGTTCACTACTATTTCGCGAAATATATCTTCAGAAGCTTTGAATCAACTGGAGAGATTCTCCATCAAAATGATTTATTCATTAATTAAGAAAGGCTGCATTTCTATATCGAAGTCAATAGTGATACCTCAAACCATTTTTTTTCAATATTTTTTTGCTAATTTTGAAATTCATTCTCAACGAAGCAAGTGACGATAATAATTGCTCGAGTTCAATAATGTTCGAAAGAAATAACTCAAGAATTTTTTTCGACTGACCATAGCTAAATTTTCTCGTGGATTCCTTCTTGACAGACATAAGGACTTTGGCTATAGTGTCTTGAGTTTTTATAAATGATAAATCAACAGTTGTGTTTATCTTGAATACTTTGTTCAATTGATAAACAGTAACTTAATTCGCATCAATTTAGTGAAATAATCAAATGAAGTATATTCCGTTATTATAAAGGAGTCATCTCTATGTGCAATAAAGAATATAGGAAAAATTTGAAAATTTAAATGAGTTCCAATTGATTCTATAGACTTTTGAATTAAAGAATAAGCTCAAATATCCGTTGATAATGATATTTTTACTTTTCAATTTTAATGAATGATTATTTAAGATTATACTCCGGCATTTTCACATTTGGCATTTGCTAAGAAACCTCGTACGGATTTATTTGGTTCAAGTATTCCTGATGCCCGATGTCACTTAGCTAAATGTTTACAAACATTAACAAGTTCTCATCCAAATCAAGTTTGTTATACATTTTGTTTTTTATATTCAATAAAAAATTTTTGATAAATATTTTAGTTTCTAAATGTTATGACAAATGGTTTATCAACAGAACATTTATTAGAAATACAAAAATACTGTGCATTAGCAAATGTTACACTTACATGAATTAATGATTAATTCAGATACATATTCTTTCAAACAAGATTCTCTTTTTTTTTCTTTTCGGTGAATTATTACAAATTCTGTTCTCTTTTTTTTTTGTTTGTAAAAGATTAAAAAAAAAAACATCTTAAATGAGAAAAAAATTCATTTGATTATCTCAGAGATAGTATATATCAATATTATAATTAGTTTTCTTTTTTGCATATCTTTAAAGATGAAATAATGGATCGAAATTCTGGATCGAATTTAAATGTTCAAAAAATTGATCGATCTCCATCGACATCATCAATAGGCTCACATGGAACTGTTGACTCAGGTCGATCAACAGCAAGTACAAACCTTAGTTCGGTTAGTAGTCGTAGAAGAAAAGGAGTTTTAGGAAGAATTGAAACTGGTTTTCGATCGGTATTTCGACGATTTTCTCGGCCACGTACATCATTAACTGAAATGGAAGCTCAACTATTGTCAGCCACAACAAATTATACTCGAGAAGAAGTTTTACAATGGTAAAAACTAAAATCAGCTTATCTTAAAATTATCTTCATTATATAGTATTGCTTTAAAATATTCGGCTAAGGTATTTTTGATTTTTTCCTATCATATAATGCATTCAATTCAAATCCAAATAGTATTTTGAATAGTCAATGAAGTTCTCTATCGAATACATTTCATACTGAAATCTCATAGATGGGCTATAACAGAAAGATTTTTGAAAAACTAAACACGGTACTTTTATGGTTCCAGCAGGCTGTGTAAAAATTACCTTTTTAGACTATCATCTTAAAAAGCATAAATGCCTGAATAAAACAATGTGTTGTCACATTTCCTGCGACCTTCCATTAAAAAGTTACAAGGATTACAAAAAAAAATGCGTGTTTAGCCAGTTTTTAGCAATCTTCTGACAGAGCTATTAGCTCAATTCTAGTTTGATTAAAATATGAAACACATTGTTATTGCTATTAACAACCACAGGGAGATTGTTCATTCTATCTATTTTAGATCATATTTCTTCACCATCGTTTTATTTAATCATTGAGAAATGCAATAAGGAAGTGGTTCAGATACTATAACAAGACGCTATTTATATATGATCTATGACATGGAAAACTTTGTTATTGTGTTCATCATGTTTATATGCGAAGGAGAAGAGATCCAAATTTCTATCTGTATACTTGAACATTCTTTTATATCAGAGCTGGGCAAAATACTTGAAGTAATAGTACTCAACGCTGGTGTACTCGAAATCTTAGATAAGTATCTATAATATGAAAATCATACTTGATAAAATTGTAGTTTGTGTTATCTCAGTATGAAATAAGCAGCTCAATTCTTCTTCTTTTTCTAGACATACATGTGTCTAGATAAATGCATAGAAACCATATCATTGTATAGCAATAGGCACATTTTTATTTGATTAGTTTCTTACACTGGTCTTACAGTACGTAACTGATCCGTCTCTGTATTTTACATAGTTCTTCTCTCATTTCGTATACATGATTTATTCTCACTGAGTAAAATAAACTTGCTGTTGTAGAATTATGACTCAATTAAAATGTGGTTGCCGGTGAAAACAAGACCCACATTCACGCGCTAAAAAAAACTGTAATAACAACATGTTGGTTCAAGACCCTTGAAGTATATTAATCTCGAAATTCATGAGTCATTTCTAAATTTACTGATCGAATTTTTGTACTGAAGAAAGTTTATACTTGTCAAGCTTTGATTTATATTGTTTCATAAAATTTGGCTTTTTTTTTCATTTTTTTTTGTACTGCTTATAACTTTTTAAGAGAAGATCATAAGAAATGCAGCAACTCCTCATTTCGTCCAGGATTTTATGCTATTTTAGATAATACTCTCAAAAACTAATTTTCTCAGTCTTTTGGAATCTGAAAACTACCCAAGTTAGTTTACGAAAAATCTTTCTCTTATAATTCATCTATGAGAATTCGATATGGAATACATTCGATAGAGAACTTCACTAACCATTCAAACCACTATTGGGATTTGAATCTAATACTTCATATCGTAGAAAAATAAAATAAAAAATATGCAGGAAATTTTAACAGAATATAAAAGTTCACTAATTTACACAAAGAAAGTCATATCAATTTTGGTGTTTTATTTTAAAGAATAAGGTATAACTCTTCAACATAGTCTAAATCTTTACTTTCATTCTTTTCAGATTCTACAAACAGAATATTAATTAAATAAAGTGTTATAATTAATCTTTAATAGTTCAATCTGAAAAGTCACTACTAATTCTAAATAAAATCTTTTTAGATGTTCTAAAATCCTTCTCAATCAAACGAAAGCATGATCATTGATGACATAAAGTGGCTAACAAGGGAATCTCTCTAGGGGTCAAATCGCTTTTCAACCAAGATTATTCTTACTTGATGGGTACTTGTGAGTAATAGAAAAGTCTACAATGATTTGGTTTTTTCAGATCTTCGCTCTTGAGATATCAAAATTTTACTGTTTTTTTTTTCAACAAGAAACTGTGCTTCCCCTTAGGTCACATGAAAAATTGGCTTTCCAGTATCGAAATCAAATTTTAGCTTTTCTAGTGGAGATCTAAATATATGAATAAAGTTTGATTTGACAGTTAGAAAGGTTTCCTCGTGAATCATAAATCAACAGAAAAAAAATTAATTTTAATAAATTTTAAGAAATCTAAACTTCTTGAAGCCTTAAGGGTCTATGAAAACCTCAGAAAACTAATCAAAAACATCACAAGCTAAAAATGATAGAACAAAATTTCGTCGTTTTTTTTACATAAAATCGTTTAGAAGTCTTGAACACTTCTCAGTGTAAAAAAAGAAACTTGAACTGAATAATTTTTTAAAAGACGTACAATAAAGTCTCAAAAATAGCAATACAATATAGAAAATGAACTCTAAAGTTATTCCATAGATTCAATAGAACTCTTTAGAATGTACCACAAGCTACCAATATACGATGATTCATCTTTTTCTTTGTTAGATTTCTATACACTTCATAGAGAATCCTGTATTCATGTTTTTTCCTTCTGCAAGAAAAAACAAACAAACAATTTTCTAGTCTATTTACTATTTCAACTAAAGAAAAGTTCATTGTTGAGAAATTAATTTCGAAATTTAGTCAAATCATTTTTCGATTGTAAATTGAAATAATTTTAAATTTAGGCATAAACAATTCTTAATTGATAATCCAAATGGTTATATGACTCGAAAACAATTTATATCAATGTATAAATCATTATTTCCTAGAAGTGATGCTGAACGTTTTGCTCGTCATATATTTCGTGCATTTGATCTTGACAATTCACATACAATTGATTTTCGTGAATTTCTTCTTGGTTTATCAATAACATCAACAACAAATTCAATAAAAACAAAACTTGAATGGACATTTAATGTTTTTGATATTGATGGAAATGGTTTATTAACACGACGTGAATGTTTAGAGGTTATTGATGCTATTGTTCGATATTATTTATCATCAGAAAGTGGTACGCATAATTCAAATAATGAATCAATAGTTAATCTAGCTAAAAGATCAATGATGACTATATTTGATAATGTCAGTCAAAATCCAGCAGATAAATTAACGAGATCGCAATTTGTTGAAGGTTGTTTAAAAGATCAATTTATTTCACAATTATTAGCACCAACATCAAATACAGTATTAATAAATACTCAAAGTACATTTGATAATCATTCGACTGATTCAAAACATGTATTATAGAAATTTTTCAGTTTGTTTTTCTTCCCATATCCTTTCATTTTTATAGATTTCAAGTGTTTAGAATTCAGATGAAGTTTTCTTTCATTATGTATATTGCAATAAACTATTTAATCTTGTTTTTTTGTGTGCATCTGGACAAAAATTTGCATGTATTATTGTTGAAAATAAACGCTTATTTATATGGATATCCAACAATAAATTCTAATTTATATTTATTTTCTTTAAAGAGAATAAAAAATATCACTGTGTATGACTTGATCTCTCTAATAATCTTAAAATCACAACTACGAGTGATTGGAACATTTTATTTGCCTTTCAAATTTTGTTTTTTATAAATACTTATTTTTGAAAAATCAACAACTGTTTTACAATCAAAGAAGCTCTTGAAAAAATTATTATAGTCTCACTTGGTTAAAACCTACAGCTTATTTCAATATGACATTTTGCAAAGAAGTGTCTGCTCTACAAAACCACCGATTCTGACAATATTTTGCATGTTTGAAAAGAGACCTGTAGGATACACAAAAATCTCTTGGCTCACAAATCTGGAATAAAAATAGACACAATATTTCTAAGCACATTATTCAAATTCTGATCACGACCTATACTTTTTTGGCTCATCTAAAATACTTTCAAGAAGTCTAAAATGAACAAACATGTTCACGGAAAATGTTCACCCACATATTCTGTCTAAGCTAATTTCTTCGGCTTGTCAAAAGATTATTTCATTACTTTCGAATAAAAATTGAGACAAAAAATTTCTTAGCTCATATTCGAAAAGAGTAGAACATAATAACTTTTGACTCATCGAAAATACTTTCTAGCGGATCAAAACCAAACAAAAATCTTGTCGAAAAACTTTTCGATCACCCATTCATTTAATGATCAATAATGAAAACTGCAGACAAAATATGGCGTGTGAGCAGAGAGAAGAGCATAAGATTTCCTTCTATTTTATTAAACTTTCGAACTATAGAAATGATGAATTTTATGTAGGGGATGAATCAAGTTTTTTTTTTTATTACTATGATAACTGTTATTTTTATGGGTAAGAAGATAAGGTTAAGATGATATTTGACAACTAAAGTATGTATGTTATTATTTGTCATAACAGAAAAACTATCGACAACTTACACGTATTTTGATTTAGAAGATTTATTTACAGACCTTATTTAGATATTAATGACATATAAAGATGAATATTTCCGATTTCATGGCAATGATAAAAGCATTTGAATGATATAAAAAATAGGAAGCTTATCATTTCTTGTCCATTCAGTTATAAAATATTACAAGAATTTTTAAGTATAAAGACACATGTTAGACATTGGAACCTATATATCATTGTAAATCAAAACAATAGAAGACATACCCAACTTAAATAGTAATTGATATCTTTCTTCAGAGAACTCTCACACGTTTCCGATACTTTCGAAGAACAACTCATCAGAAAATTCAAAACTTTTAGGGTAGATAGATATTGATGAGTAGAACAAAAGTTATTGTAGATTCAAAATTCCAAAATTCTTCATTTTAGGAAATATTAGAGTTGCCTATGATTTTTGGATTTCTTTTTATTTCATTGCATTCGAATCAAATAATTAAAATTCAGAGAATACACCAAAGGGTAAATAACGGAATCCTGAAGCTCTATGAATTTCTTGTGATATATTACAAAATTCTGTAAAGTTCTATAGAATCCAAAATTTAGAATTTCTTTGAATTTTGCATAAGTCTAGGATTTCAGGGTTCTTTTATTTACTCCTTGGTGTATTCACGAAAATTCATGTTTGTTTTTAATTGTATTTTTTTTTGTAAACTCAAGCAAATACCAGTGATACATCATATTTCAATACAAAAACAAGAAGGTACCCGAAACACCTTCTAGTATAAGAAGAAGAAAGTTTCAGCCCGATCGAACATACTGTATTCGATAAACAGTGAAGATTCGCCAATTTCTCTTTTGTGTCAAAAAAAAAGAAATCATTATTTTCAAAATCAGCAACATAATGTGTAAATTTTGATGCTTTTCAGTGAAAGACTTCCATATTTTTTAGATGTTTTTACTTTTATAGTGATAGATTAATTCTTGAAATATGTTCAGTAGATAGAGGATACTTAGAAACATATTTCGATCAACTTTAAAAAGTATTTGTCGAGAACAAGGTTGTTGATATTTTTTTAGAGGTGATAGAGGCCAAAATTTCTCACAGATAGTGGTTTGCTCCTCTGAGGGTTAAAAGTGACGCTGGCAAAGCAAGAACGAAAACTATCGTGACTTATACTCTTCCACAACAGATGGCCTGTCACCAGACCGCTCCTTGCCCGCGGTTTTCCCCGGTCCTATTCATCTCTCAACGATATTACTAGTTTACTTTATTTCACTCTCTGTAACAGAAAGGCAAATGATGTTCTAAAATTCTATTTCTGTCCAAAGTTATCATGAAACTTTGAAAATTAGCAAAAAGTCAAACATTATTGGAGAAGAAGAAAAGTGCATCACACTAATCGAGAATCCTAGTTGGAAAATGAAGGACGATCTCCTCAAGTATGCCAGTCTACAATTTTCATTCTACTAGCCAATCAGTATAAATATTTATAATAAGAAAAGTGTTCGCATGAAAAAACAAATTCAAGGAAAGAAATTAATCGAGACATACCAGTTACAACTACACACTTATCAAATAATTGTAAAAGAGATTCATTGATGTATTAACATTATCTCCATGCTTTTCATATGACATAAATATCATCGAAACAAGCAAGAAAAAATTTGTTTTACCAAATGAAAAAAAAAGAAAGTACTTTTTATTGACAATTAAAAATCATCGAATGATTTATCTTTTCTCTTCTAATCATCAGTCTAACATATGTGATAACCTTGATATCAAAGAAAAAAATCTTTGACACATTGATAATATACGAAGAATATTAAGATGGAAAGATAGGATTGTATCAACAAATAAACTTGATCAGATATACATATTTCTATAATCAACATAAGGCAAAGAAAAAAAAACTAAGAATACTTTGATATTCTCATTGTATATATATGATGACAGACAAGCCATCATCATTGCTCGCGTCAATCATGATAGTATGTTTATACAAATGTCTGATCGTATGAGTAGTTGCACAATGAAATGTGCGTTAATTTCTTTGATTACTGATAAAATACAAAAAGAGCGAAAGGTATCACTTCATCTATTATTCAATGAATGTAGTAAAAAAAGAAAAAAGACAAAAAGAAAACATCAATGGAGATGACCTCGACTTAAGAAAGAAAATAACGATGAAATGAAGATTAATTATTGTTATTTGTATTATTCATATGTCGTTTGGTTTCTGTCATTGGTGATAAAGACAAGTGAGGATAAAAAAATGGTAACTGATCATTGGTTTCAGTCATCCTTGGTATGTTTAAATATGGATGAAAACGATGATGATGATGATGAGATATTTTCGATGATCTATGACTGTATCGAATATGTTCCATTAATTCATCATTTGAATAAAATCTTGCATTACATGATGACCAATGACATACAAATGGTTGATTATTTATTGAGTTCGAAAGAATATATCGAACTGTCTCACATTGTAAACAGCCAGGTATTGTACATGTTGTGGAATATGAATGTTGTTGTGAAGCTAAATAAGCAAGAGACGAACGAAGAAATAATGCTGCTGCAGATTTAGTTGGATCAAATAGAGGCGTTAACTGATTTGTTAATAGATTTGGTTCGATGAAAGATAAAGATGCTGATTGAATATTTGTTTTTAATGGAAGTGTAGATTTTTTATGGGCATTTACATTACTTAACTGTGAAGGTGATGAACGTTTCGTTGATGAAAATGATTTGTCAGAATTAAATAGATTCGATGAAGATTTTGTAGAAAGAGATGTTGTTGTTATAGGTGGAACTGAATTTGAGATTGATGAAGGTGATGATGGAAAATCTTTTCCAATACTTGAACATGTTTGAGCTAAAAGAGCTAGTGGACTTTGACTTGAATCGTACTATTCAATTAAAAAGAAAAAACGAATTTAAATAAAAAAATTTTATTTTACTTTAAGAAAAAAATAAACAATTTACTGAATTTGATGAAGATGGTTGTAAATAATCTGTTTTTGAATAAGTTTTCGTTGTTGTTGTTGTTGCTGTTGAAGACATTTGTCTTTTTTTTTGACGATAATGATGATCGTTTGTTATTATTTCTACTCTTTAAGTATAAAGTCAATGAATTAAAGCTTTTCCTTATATCTCTTTTTTTTCTGTTCTTTCTTACCCTCTCGTTTACAGTCATATATAGAGAAAGAGAGAGAGAGACAAAAAAAAACGAGAGAAGAAGAAAAAAAACTAGAACGGATTTGTATGTGTGATAAATGATGATCATACTTGAGACCCCCAAGCGAATATACGTGCACTACTGCTTGACATATGACAATTAGAAAGAAAACGATGAGTAATGACAATAATGAATAAGAGATGCCATTTATTCTCTCTGATGGCGATGTAGCGTGCCGATTTCTAACTTGGATTTTACATACATTCATCTATCATTTGTCAATAGACATAAATATATATTTTAAAATGATAAACGTGTAACAAACACACGATTCATGTCAATGTGTTTCATAAAAATAAATTATATTTAATATTAAACAGATAGATCATTTATTTTAAAATAAATATTAATCACTCAATGACAGTAATGGGAAGTGTTCTTTAAAAAAAAAATATATATATATATATATATATACACACATATAAATGAACTTTGATAATAACTGACATAATTGAAATGATGAATGCCGACAGTTGTGACAGAAGAGGTTAACTTCTCTATCGACTTGTCATCGCCATTAGCTGACCGACAGATAATGACAGAAAACATGCCGAGAGATACATGTTTTGTCTCGACGTATGCATGATCCTCATTATTGGCCTTTCATTTGTCAATTTTTCTTTTCGATGAATGATGATCTTGATCAATTGTCAAGTAAAGGAGGCTTCACATCAGATTGTTACAAACGAGCCCCACATTAATCATTTATCATCAATCGTTTTTTTACGTCGTAATAACAATATTCTGTCATGAAGAAATCAGTCAGAGAAAGAAAGAACAAAAAATTGATTTATTGAGGATGATAATACAGATATATGACTTATTATGTTAAACAAAAATAAAAGTCAGAAACTATTTAATATTTGAAAAAAAATTTTTTAATGACTATTTACATCATTCAAATTTCTTTGACTATATATTTTATGACAAATATACACATACACACATATATATATATATTGATTGACGTTGATGACAGTGTCCGATATTTATCTTGCTAAATGATTGTTGTTGTCGTTTCATTTGTATATTTATTCTTTTTCAGAAGAACGACATGGTCTCATTCTAATCAATGCTGACAAACACATTAAGATAGAGGATACCAACATAAATTAGAGCTTTTTTATATATTACTGTCCTATTCGATAATATGCATGTATGGTTCAATCTATATAAGTTATCATTACATCGATTTACATACGGATTGACTTTTTTTTTGTTCCTGTCTTATGATTTTGTTCTTTATCTATTGATGATGATTAGATTTGACATTGGCCATTGATACAACTTTATCTCAATGATTTTTTATCGGCTTTTTTAACGTATTAACTCATTTAGCGTATTTGAATATGATATGCTTAGTTGCTTTCGCTTCTCTAAATATAGCAATTAGTTTTTATATACATAATACGAAGAACAAAAGAAAATGATCGATTGTTTACGTACTACATAGAGTCAAAAATAACTGATTTGAAATTACCGATCGATCTGTTTTCAAATAAGGAATAGTGTTCTTTTTTTTTTTTAATGAACAGAATATAAATGAATGGAATTCTTATTGATGATAATATTCGATGTCGCTTGTTGATGATAGATGCATAAGTGCCGCCCTCTTATTTTCGATCTTTTATCAACATTCGTTTCATAGCGATGAACAATTTGATGGTGACAGATATATACTATTTATAATCTTATTAAATTCTTGTCTAAATGTTTGAGTTTTAATTTTGTTTCTGTTTATAATGGCATCGGATTTATTAAATCCTCAAATATCTCAGCATCTAGGTGATCGTACAGCACCAAAAGCAACTCTTCGTCTTGAATGGATTTATGGTTATCGAGCAGCTAATTGTCGAAGTAATATACATTTAACTGCGAATAATGAACTAGTTTATTTTTCTGCTGCTGTTGCTATTGTTCAAAATATTCGGGATAAAAATCATAATCAACAACGTTTTTTTCTTGGTCATGATGATGATATTATTAGTTCATGTCTTCATCCAGATAAAACCATTGTTGCAACTGGTCAAATTGGTAAAAATGCCCAAATTTGTGTATGGAATACACAAGGAATAATGAAATTAGAAAGTCTTTTACAAGGACATGTAGATGGTGTCGGAGCAATGAGTTTTAATGTCAATGGAGAAGTAAATAATAATAAAAAAAACAAAAGAACAATTCTTTTTATTTATTTTAATTAACAATTTTTTTTTCTTTATTCTTTAATTAGAAATTAGCTAGTGTTGGTATTGATCGTAATAATACAATTAAAATTTGGGAATGGCGTCGTGGAAAACTTTTAGCAACTGTTGCTGGACATACAGAACGTGTTTTTGATATTAATTATCATGGTGAACATGTTATTACTTGTGGTGTTAAACATATTCGTTTTTGGACATTACTTGGTAATACATTACAATTTGAAGAAGGATATTTTGGAAAATTAGGAGCACAAACACTTTTATGTATTGGACATTTTTTTACTGTAGATACGAAACAATCAACAGAATCTACAGATAATGATTATTTATGTTTTACAGGAGCTATTAATGGAGATTTATATGGTTGGAAGAAATGTAAAATTGATAAATATATTTCTGCAGCACATAGTGTAAGATTATATATATATATATATACATATGATTGAAGTAATCAGATTGAAATATTTAGAAAATAATGTTGCAATAATTAATTTATGAGAAATTCTTTTGAACTAATACAAATTGTCTAATAAGTTCGATATTATTACACATAATTTATAAGACAAATATACAAAGTGGTTCGAAATGACGAAAGTTAGATTTCTTATATGTTGACAGGTTGAAATAATTTCTTGAAGAAGAGAAAATATATGAGTAAGATTACATAAATTCTAGTCCATTTCAGCACGTTAGAATCAATTTATAAGTTTCATACTTTTTACAGAAGACAAAATATATGAATTTCTTATCAACAAACTGACAAGGCGAAAGATATCATAAATCATTTTCTACAGATTCAGTATATTTAAGTGTCATTTTAATGGATAAACTTAATTGATTAGATGACGTGTTAATTCTGCATCAAGTATCATTACAATTAAGGAAGAAAACATACTTTTTATCAGTTAATTCTAGAAAAATGATTTTAGTTAATAATTTAAATATTATCTTTGATTAGGGAACAATTTATTCAATTGATATAAATCCTAATGGTTTTTTAACAAGTGGTAAAGATGGTTTTGTTAGAGAATGGACAAAAGATTTAGTTCCTATAGGAAAACCAGTTGAAATTCCATGTTTAATAAATGATACAGAAGGTAGACAAACAAGACAAAAGCAAGCAAAAATTGTCTAAATATTTTTATTTGTTTTTATTAGATATAAGTGTATGCAGTGTTGCTTCACGTAATGATTATTGTGTAGCGGGTACTCGTGATAGTGAAATCTATGGATTTGAATTGAATAGAGATAATATACCACAACTTCTTGTTCAAGGTCATCATGAAAATAGTTTATATGCATTAGCTTGTCATCCACGAGAAAATATTTTCGCTACTGGTGGAGATGATTTTTCACTTAGGTTTGAATTGAAATTCGTTTTTCTTTTTTATATGAAACAAATATTTTTCTTTTGAATAGATTTTGGAATGCTGATAAAATGTCAATAATAACATTTTATTGGACACCTTGTGTTCCATTATCACCAACTCCAACTATTCGATCTTTAGCTTTTTCATCGAATGGAAATCAAATAGCTGTTGGATATGATAATGGTTATATTGAAATTTATCCAACATTGTTCGTTATTTTGATTTTTAAGTTTTATAATAAAAAGAAAAATTATTATTTAATGTAGATTAACAGGACATGAAGAACCACGAGTTCAACCCATACATACAATACACGATCGTACAGATCGTATACAATCATTAGCATTTTCTCCAAAAGATAAATATCTTGCTGTTGGATGTGCTGATGGAAATTTTGATATTTATGATATTGGAAATCGATTTCAAAACTTACGTTTTAGAAACCATGGTAGAATAAATATAATTAATTATATAGAAATATGATATGATTTTTCTCTCTTTTTTTATTTTCTAAGGTAATAGTTTAAGTGTTACAAATATTGATTGGACTGATGATGAAAAATATGTTCATTATACTGGAGAAAATAAAGAAGCTTTTATAGTTAAAATACCTTGTAAGTATTATTAAATTTAATTAAAATTTGAATTAATTATTTTTTAATTTTATAAAGCTTTTGAAATCGTATCTAATGCTGAAAAAGATAATATACGTAATTGGTTTACATTTACAAGTTTAAAACATATAGAAGTTCGTGGTATATGGAATAAATTTGCAGAAACAACAAATATTGTTGCAATTGATGGAAATAGAAGTGAGGGTGTTATTGCTGCTGGTGATGAACAAGGACTTATTAAATTATTTCGTTTTTCAACTGAAAGACGTGGTGCTCATTTTAAAAAATATGTTGGACATTCAAGTAGAATCGGTACGTTAAAAAAAACAGAAACAAAGCAAAATTGAATTTTTCTTAATTAAATCTTTTTTTTGTAGCTGATGTTCGTTTTCTTCATGATTCAAGTCGTTTAATAACAATTGGTAGTGATGATCGTACAATAATACAATGGCGTTTTCTACTAGAATCAGATCAAATTGCATTAGTTGATGCAAGGCGATTGAGTGCTGCACCGAGTTCTTTACAAATGGGATTAGATGAATCAATGGCTGCAGATATACCAGATGAAACTATTGAAGATGTACAAATGTTACAAACAGCCCAATTTGCTGGAGCTTATTTAGATTCAGATTCTGAAGATTCAGATTCAGATTTAAGTGGTGCTGAAATCGATCCAGATATCGAAAAAGAAAAACACATTTCGTATGATAGAACTTTATATAGAGAAGATTATTCAGTAAAATTTCCTTTTTCCTTTTTTTCTATATTAAGAATTCTTTTAATTTGATAGAAATTAAAAAAAACAATGAAACAAAATTTACCACCAGGTGAAAAGAGAAAAAAACAACCTGATGAAGGTCTTACACTTGACTATGTATTTGGGTAGGAAAAATTTTTGTTTTAAATCATTTTTAATAAAATAATATTTAATCAAAATAGATATCGTGGTTATGATTGTCGAGATAATGTTTTTTGTTTAAAAACTGGTGAAATTGTTTATCATGTTGCTGCACTTGGCATTGTTTTAAATACAGAACTCAATCAACAAAGATTTTATAATTGTCACACAGATGATATTTTATGTTTAGCTGTTTCACCTGATTTGACATTAGTCGCTACAGGACAAGTAAATTAAATTAATCTGAAATATTTTCTTTTTATGAAGGTTAGGAAAAAACCTGGAGGTTTATTATTTTATGCTAATGAAAAAAAAAGCAAAGAAAGATTGAAAGCATCTCGTGCATTGTTCACAGACTTCATAATAAAAAGAACAATGTAGAAAAAAAAATGTATTCTTAAGGCTTTAGAGTACTAATCAAAATTATAATAGTAAGGTATCTTTGTTTTTTTTTCTGTGATGTCGAATACTTGACTCACATTGAAATTAATATTTGCTTAGCCAAAAAAGTTCTTTATCAAATACATTGTATATTAAGGTTTCATACTTGAAATATTTTGGAAGGTCTTCTAAAAACCCCAAACAAGGTAGTTTTCATGTCTTCTAAGATATTGTGAGAGTTCATTTTTAACAGTACCATCTAAAAACAACATCAACTTCCGAACAATATGCGGAGTCGCTCTATTTTTATGATCTTTCCATGCAAAGCTACAAGTCTCACAAAATGCGAAAAAAAAGGTGAAATCTATCTGAAAATCGCTAAAAAAGCACTGTTATCTTTTCTGATGTTTGTAACTTTATTAGAAAAGATCGTTAAAAAGGTAGTAACGCATCGTACTGTTTAGAACTTTATGCACAGTCAGATGATACTTTTAGAAGAAAATTCTGGCAACGTCTTCGGGAGCTAAAATCTATCGTTTTCGGTTTTGAGAAAGCTTTTCCTTATAATCAAACTATGCAACTTTAATCTATAATGTATCTGATGGATAACTTTATTGGTCATCCAAATATTGAGTTTGATTTGAGTTAGATATTCGACATTATAGAAAAAATATCAACAATATCTTGTTTTTATAATCATTGAGCAACACTTTCGATGTATCAATAATGAATATATCTCGAAATGAACACGAAAAAATAATAATCATATAAAATTTGCACTAGAGAGAAAAATTTTCTTTTTCTTATTTCATATATTCAAAATAAACATATTGAATATCTCAACCTTTTCTGATGTTGTGTGTCACTTATCATCAGCGTTTTATTGAACATAATAAATCAATTATCTAAATGCATCAACTTATAAATCTAAATCATAATAATAATAATATTCTGAACTGATAAACCTATGTTTTTATGAAATAAATCTCAAGTCTAAACAATTTCTATAATTAAATGAAAAATATTCATATAAATATTTACTTTATATAAAATAAGAAAAATAAAACAAAACAAAATTTTCCTTTCTACTGCAAAATTTATATTCTTATTATTTTTTCGTATAATTATGAAATCTCAAATTAAAATCTTTTCTTTTATGACCGTGTAGTGAATCTGAACTCGAGTTCGAAGTTTGGATCAAATGGTTCAGGTTCGAAAACTATCCAACAAGTTCAAGTCGCTCGAGTATTTAGATCATTGTTCAAGCAGCTCTTCTTTTAGAAAGTACTCTGCATTTAGCATTTGAATAATTTACTTCATTGTCTGCAGATTGATTATAGTCAACCGTAAAAACCTTTCCTTTGATTTACTTCTATTTATTAAATTGATTAATTAACTGAAAATGACTGCATTCAAAACCCCATTCGAATTTGAACTCGAACGTTCGAACTCGGCGCATATCAATTGATTTATTTCGAAATGAAAATTTTTTATTATTTTTAAGAATATTCTATATTATTATCAACTGTTTTTCTTCTATATGAATCAAAATTAATTGATCACGTTACATCAAGAATATTTCATTTTGTTTTTGAAACCCTATATAGTTTGAAAAAATAATTGATTTTCTATCTATATGATGTCAGCAAAACATTATTGATTATATTGAGAAAAAAAAACATAAGAAAAACCATTCGATATGTGTTTTTGTATATACGATAACACGTTGCAAGTGCATCATAATCAATAAATAGATGAAAAGCAAAATATTCTTAATAATTCTCTATGATATATAATATTTCTTGTTATAAAATAAAATTAGATTGGTCGTGATCCACCTATTCATGTATGGGATCCAGTAAAAATGGAAACAAGTTCAATTCTTAAAGGCGAACATTATCGAGGCATTTGTTCTATTGGATTTTCTAGTAAGAAAAAAAACCTGATTTAAAGATTCATTTTATTTGTTTTGTATATTTTAGGAAATGGTAAACTTTTAGCTTCAGTTGGTTTAGATGATTATTTAACAATTGTTATATGGAATTGGAAAAAAGGAGAAAAAATTACATCACAAAGGTTTGAAGATTTTTTTCTTTTTAATTTTTATTTACAATTTTTCTTTTTGAATATTTTAGAGGACATAATGAAAAAATTTTTTGTTTACGTTGGAATCCACATGCTGATGATCAATTTGTAACTGTTGGTGTTAAACATATTAAATTTTGGACACAAGCTGGTGGTGGTATGACATCAAAACAAGGTGTTTTTGGAAAAACTGCTGGAAAACAAGGAAAACAAAATCAAATGTGTGTTGTTTTTGGGAAAACAGCTGATATTTGTATAACTGGTGGTGGTGATGGAGCGATTTATATTTGGACACATACATCATTAACAAGAGTGATTCAAGATGCACATAAAGGACCTTTATATGCTATAGCTGCAGTACAAGAAAAAGTTAGATTTTTAAAGTTTGGTTTTTCATTTTCGAAAAATTATTTTCATTATATATATAATAGGGTTATGTAACTGGTGGAAAAGATGGAAAAGTTATACTGTGGGATCCAGAATTTAAGCGTATTAAAACATATGAATTAACGAATAAAAATTTAGCTCCAGATTCTCGAGGTTATTTCAGTTAATTTGTTTTTTGATCTTTTTAATGTATTTTTTTTTTCATCTAGGTGTTCGTCTTACTCAAGAACCAACACCAGTTCGTGCTGTTACTTTAACACGTCGTATTATTGTTGGAACACAAGGTGGAGACATATGTGAAATTGAAAAAGATGGTCGAATTCGTATTCCTATTCAAGGTTTGAAACATTTACTTAAACAAATTGTTTGAATTTTTTGAAAACAAAAAAAAAAAATTAAGGTCATGCTGAAGGGGAATTGTGGGGTTTAAGTACAAATCCAAAAAAATATGAAATATGTACTGTAAGTGATGATAAAACTGTTCGAATATGGTCATTAAAAGATCGAAGAATGATTCGATTTAAAGCTTTTGCAAAATTATTACGTACATGTGAATATTCACAAAGTGGAAAAACAATTGCCGTGGGAACAAAAGATGGTTTGTTTATATTTTTAAATAAAATGTTTTTAAAAAAATAAAAATAAATTCAGGTCAGATTATGATATTAAATGAAGCAGATTTAAGTGTTATTATGACTGCTGAACATCGACATCGAGAAGTATCAGATATCAAATTTTCACCAAGTAAAATATTTGAACAAAAAAAAAAAGATATTTCAATGAAATTTATTTTTTATTTGTACTTTAGACGATGCATATTTAGCTGTTGGTACACATGATAATTTTTTAGATATTTATAATGTTGAAAAACGAAAACGTATATTTCTACAATTTAGTTTTTACTTGAAAAGATAATCGTATGGTTTATTTTTTTGTTTTGTAGGAGTTGGTATTGGTAAAACACATTCATCTGCTATAACTCATATTGATTGGGATTCTAAAGGTTTATTAATAGGATTTCGCTTTAATAAAATAATTTGATTGTTTAGGAAAATTATTAATGACAAATTCAGCTGCGAGTGAACAATTCTTTTATGAAGCACCACGTGGTACAAGAATAACATCAATTAAAACAACTGATATTGAGAAAATGAATTGGTTTACATGGACAGGTGTATTAGGACTTGTTTGTGAAGGCATTTGGGAACCAGCTACTAGTATAAATGATATTAATTCAACTGATTTGACCAAAAATAAAAAAACTTTAGCAACTGCCGATGATTTTGGTCATGTTAAGCTCTTTGATTTTCCTGTTAAAGTAAAAGAAAAAAGAAGCAGATTTTTTATAAAAAAAAATTCTTACATGAAACTTTAATTTTTTTTCAAGGGAAAATTTGCTAAATACAAAAAATATACAGGTCATAGTGCTCATGTAACTCGTGTTCGTTGGACCTTTGATGATTCTTATTTAATATCAATTGGTGGTGGTGATGTTGCTATATTAGTTTGGAAACATGAATTTGATCGCGGGACTGAAATTGTTACGAATTCTACATCAAGAACTACCATTAATGCAAGTCCTTCAATTCTTGCTCCTTTACAACGACAACGAGGTGAAAGTGACGATTCTGATAACACAGATTCTGAAGAAGAAGGCTATGATTCCGATGTACAACATGATCGAGCTAGAGATTATAATGCACGATTGCTTATTGATCCAGATCGAACAAAAACTAATAAAATAGATATACGTAAACCAAAAATAGAAAATCGTAGACCAATGTAATTAATTCATTGTTTTTATTTTATTTTCGAATATTTTTCTATTTTAGTCGTGTTAAAGTAAAAACATCAAAGAGAACACTTGAAGATGAATCAATGCTTATTAGAGCTACTTTAAAGTAAATTAAATAAATAGAACTATTAATTAAAAATTAAATTAAATTTTTTTAAAGATCTGGACTGAGTTTAGGTTTATTAAATGCAGCAATGTTGAGTTCAGAAAATGAAGAATTAGTTCATGATGATGATCATGATGATAGTAAACCACGAGGACGTATTGTTGTATGTAGTTTTTTGTTTTCTAAAGAATTAAGAAAATAATTAAATCAAAAAGAAATCGATTTTTTTGTTTTTCTTATTAGGATCTTGAATTAGATCATATTCATGGTTATCGTGGTTTTGATGGTCGTGATAATTTATTCTATTTAGCTAATAATGAATCAATTGTATATCCAGCAGCTGGTGCTGGTGTTATACATCATATACGTCGAGGTATTCAAAAATTTTATTTAAAACATACGGATGATATTATATCAATGGCGGTACATTATGGAGAAAAATATGGAAATATAGTTGCATCAGGACAAATCGGAGAAAATCCAACAATTCATATATGGGATCCACAAACAGTAAAAACTCTTTCTGTTTTATCTGGTAAACATAAACGAGGTAAAATTTTCATGTCAAATATTATTTTCATTATTATAATAATATGAAAACTTTCTTTAGGTGTTTGTTCATTAAGTTTTTCAACAAGCGGAAAATTATTATTATCGGTTGGTGTTGATGCACCATATACAATAGCTGTATGGCGATGGAAAGAAGGTATTTTACTATTTAAAAAAAAAAAAATTTGTCATCGCAGTCCCATCGAGGGCACATATGTGGAGTTCATGTGTTCTGTAGTCTCATCATTCTGATACAAAATACGCTAAGTGAAAAATCTCTAGCAGACTATAGTTGTTTTCAAATGATAAATAATCGCCAAGAAAATGATCTATCTTTTTTATTTTTACATGTTAAACAGAATTTTTTTTCTTATTTTCCTGGTACTCTATTTTTTGTGTACCTTGCTGCTTGCCATTTTCAATATTCTGTTTTTCTTAATTTAACATTATTATTATTCTAAATATTGATTTAGCTCATTAATAAATCTGTTGTACAGATTTATTATATCTACAACCGATCTCAATGCACTATCATATATCTCGATAAGCTCAGAAATACTGATATTGATTATTTCCGTAAGTTAAAATTTGATCAGTGCAAATTTTATTATGTTGATAGTATGACGACTTTGGCAAATTAATGCTTCACTACCAAGGTAGAACAAGTGCGACTTTAGTACTGTGAAGTACAATGAATATTATACCTCGAAGTATCGAAGCCGTGCTTTTCCGTTCTTGATTGTTATCTATCATCCTTAGCATCTTGAATTTAATTTTTTTTCTGCATAAAAGTAAAAATCTGGACTACTAAGGTCATTTACAAATGTATTCCAACTATTCAAATTCCGAGGAATGACTTTGGAATTTTCTAAAATTGTCTACATCTTGTTCATAATGCTGTTCAGCGCCTTTTTCCATTGTTAAGAAAGTCTGGAACAAAAAGACATATGATGCCTGTTATCCCTGGTTGTTGGGAAGACGTACCCAATAACTGCTAGTTTTCTATCTCTTACTCAGTTGTTATGAAAAGGAAGTCGCAAAACCTCGAGTTAAAACTTCCAGTCACTATATTTTTTTTTTCGTAAAACATAATTTGAATTCGACAAAAGTTTTCAATGTTTCATTTTTTTTTTTTTTTTAAGGTGTTAATATTTCAACTACAGTTGCATCTGAAGAACGAATATTTCGTGCATTATTTCGTCCGCATTCGGATACACATTTCGTATCAGTTGGTGTAAAACATTTAAAATTTTGGTCTATTGCTGGAAATACATTAGTTAGCAAAAAACCTGTTATGACAACAGCAGTGGATGGAAATCGAGGAACAAAAATGCAAACAATGCTTTCAATTGCATTTGGACCAGTAAGAAAAATGAATTTTTATCATTGTGTTGCAATAAAATTTGTTTATCTTTTAAAGGAAGATCGCACTTATACCGGTAGTATGACTGGTCTAGTGTTTATTTGGCGTTTTAATACATTGGAACGAACAATAAAGGCTCATCGTGGACCAATTTTTTCAATGTTTAGTTCCGATAATTGTTTGATTACAGGTGCTAAAGAAAAGTATGTTATGATGATTTGTTATTTATAAATGAATGAGTTTTATTTTAAGACCTTCTCTTACTTCAACCGATGTACTTAAACCGCTTAAAGTATGGGATTTTGATATGAATAAAGGACGATCAATAAAACTTAATTTACCATCAACAGATACAATTTGTGTTAGATCTGTTTGTCGAAATTCTCAAGTAAATATTTCTTTAGTTTTATGGATTTAATTAAATGCACAGTAAATTTTCTTTTTTAGGGAAAAATTTTAATTGGTCTAAAAAGTTCTGATATTATAGAAATTGATGATGGATCATCCGGTTCTCAATCAAAATCATTAGTATTTGGACATGGTGAAGGACAATTATGGGCATTATCACCACATCCAACTAAATCAATATTTGCTACAGGAAGTTATGATCGAAATCTTGTTATTTGGAGTACAAATACTAAAGTAAACATACGTATTTGTTTAAAATTATATTTTTTGAGATAATTTCTATTTTTTATAAAAAAAGAATCTTTGAGTAAAAATCGCGTAAGTAATACGTAGAAAAAATCCATCCTGCTCAATTGGTTGCCTTATTACCCTTGTGTTATTATGTATTTGATTTAGATAAAAAAATAAAATATCCTATTTTTTGTCTTTTATTTAAGGGTCTTATAGTAAAAGTTGATATGAAAAAAGAAATTCGTAGTGTTTCATTTAATCCTGATGGAAATTTATTAGCAGTTGGTTTTACAGATGGACAAATTAGTTTAGTGACTTATTCACTTGAAAATAAACAATTAGTAGAAACTACTAAAACAAGAGAACGTAATACTGCAATTCTTTGTCTTAGGTATTTCATTTAAGAATAGAAAAATAAAACAAATGAAATATTGATAAATATTTATTTGTTTTTCTTAGATTTAGTCCAGATGGTAAAATCTTAGTTGCTTCATCAGAAAATTCTTGTATTGACTTCTTTGATGTTCAACATGAAAAATTAACACGTGTTGGTTATGTAACACATATTCAGGGTGCTGTTTCACAAATAGATTGGGACACGAGTTCACAATACATAAGAGTAAAATTTTTTGGATTTGATTATTTTGCTTTAGGAAGTTTTTTACGGTTTTTCTTTTCTTATGTTTAAGACAACTACAATTGGACTTCATACAGTTATTTTTCGTGCACCTGCTGGTGAAGAAATTAAAAATCAGGATGAAATTGAAAAGATGGTTTGGAATACTTGGACAAGGTTGGAAAATTTCGTTTTAAAAATTTATTTCATGATGAGTTGTTTTTGTTCAGTCCAATTGGCGATGATATCATTGGAATTTGGCCAAAAGATGTTAAAAAAGATCATATTAATTGTGCACATGCAATTTCATCAGCAATTGCTACGGGTGATGATCATGGAGCTGTTAAATTATTTAGATTTCCATGTCCAGAACCTGGAGTAAGGATACATTTTGTTATGAAATAATAATTCTCATCGATGAAAATAATATTCTAGGCTGAATGTAAAATATTTTATGGTCATTCTGATAATGTAACAAATGTTCGATTTCTTGCAAATGAAAGATACTTAGTTAGTTTAGGTGGTGATGATTGTTGGTAAGAATATTTTATTTATTATTAGTTAACACATATTTTTTTGTTTCATTTTTCTTCTAGTATCTTTCTATGGAAATGTGTTATGGAATCAAATCTTCCCAATGAAAATTAATTATGTGTTTGTCTTCAATCATTAATTGATAAATCAAGCAATTAACATATGTCTAACATTTTTTGTTTTCTTCATGTTTTGGGGTTTTTAACATAGTGTTTAAAAATGAAAATTTGTTTCAGATAAAAAAAAAGAAAAACCAAGAATGAATTATTTGGATGATTCATCTCTTGGAAATTTTTATCAATTTCCTTCTTGGCCAACAACCATAACTCGATCACAAACAAGTTTACCAAATAAAAATACTAATCATATGTTTAAATTACGTATTGATAATCGAAATCAAATTGAAACTTTATCAAAAACACGTCTTAGTCGACATAATGCTATGATTGCAAGAGAATTACGTGTTTTTTCACCTCCACCACTACATCAACCAACTCCAACACCAGATATTTGTTCAACAATTGATCAATCATCATTAATCTCATCGAATTATCTACCATGTCATTTAAAACCTATTCGAGTGAAATCAGCTACATTAAGTGTTCCAGTAAACACAAATTCTGAAGAAATTTTATTAAAAAATTTTCCAAAACAAACACATGAAAGACGTAAACTAATGCAAGAAAGAATACGACAAAAACAACAAACTCTAAAACATGCTCAAGCGGATTCAGATACTTGGTTTCAATTGAGAGAATCATTAGCTGAATTAAAACGTCTTGCAACAAATGAAGACGTTCTTGTAGATCCAACGACATCAATTTTTAATTGTGATGGATTTTCTTTTGAAGCACTTAAACAAGTTATTAATCAACAATCTCAAGAAATTAAAGTCAATAAACCTAAACATGAATCAGGTTGGTAAGTTATATATCATTGAAATAATTATTAAGAATTTTATCAAACAATTCAAATGTACTTATTTTATAGAACATATTTTCTTTACTCAAATATTTTAACGTTTATCATAAAAACTCATTTACTACTTTCATTCTTCCAAGGAATATTCTCCAACTGACTGATCGCGTTTGAGTCAAGACTAAAAACATTATGTGAGCCCCATGAGCTATAAATACACTAAAAAGAGTTTAGACCCTTAGCTTATTACTGCGACGATAATGGTCGTTTACGGTATTTTTTAACTTAATACCGCACAGCATTCTTCCCCTCCCCTCAGAAACATGGAGAAAACCGATTTACAAATATTGACATGAAATTTTTCACATAGACAAACTTTCCGTTGTTTCTTTCTCAAAATACAACGATGGTGAAGTTCTGTCTTTTATATCTCTCAAATACACTAACCTATTCGATGTTCTTATTTCAGAATAGGAGCAAATCAAAAGACTTGAAACTTTTACCATAAACTATTCTCGTTAAGTTCTATTGCGGTGTAAAATCTTAATTCGAAATTCGAAAATTAGTTTTGCTCATATTCCTAAGATGGACCAAGGTATTGAGTTAAAAACTCCGATTACAATGTAGTATCTCTACAAAAACAAACCAAGGATTCGAATTCGTTTTCATGATATTTATAGTACACTAGAATTGGCATAATGCATCTAAGTAGTTCTGAATAAAGTGCAATTAATTTGCTAAAAAAAAATTTCCTGGTTAGATTTTGTTAGTTGTGACTTGATAGGTTTCATATTCTAGACAATGATTTATCAGATATTCCATTCTGAAGAAAACTTTTATTGAGATTTCATTCAAATTATTTCCATACATGAATCGCTATTTATCATTATACAATTTATCTTAACACTAGAAAGACTTAATATCTTCTCGATAATTCAAATCATATCTATCAACAGGCCACTTTTTATCTGCTTAGCCTGATCTGACTCGGTGACCTACAAGGTAAACTAAACTGACTGATATTTTGTTTTTCGAAATCCACCAAGTTCTATAACTTTATTATAATGTATGATTATAATTTTAATTATATACTTAATTGAAATGAAGATAGAGTGTGAGTGACTATCTGCGAAAAGGCGACTCACACTAATACTATCACAAAACCATGAGCTTTTGGTGCTCTTTACTGTTTAAAATTATACTAGCAAAAATAATATTGCATTACACACATAAGGTGAACAACTTTGATCTGGTCTTACATGTTAGTCTGATCCAATATTATATGGATGGATTATGTCAAATAAAAATTTTGAGACTCAATTTAGTTTGATGATCTGCCAGACTGACAGCTCTCATTCAGATTTCTATGATAAATACATAACTAGTCTAGTTCATTATCTGTTTGTTCATCTCTTTGATTAGATATGATAATAAAATATATAAATAAATAATAATAAAAAAAAAAAAACATTTTTTAAAATAGGTAAATATTCATCAATGAATACAGCGCCTTCTTCAAAGATTATTCGTACACCAACGATGATGCCAACTTCACAAAATTCTTTATCTCGTTCTCGAATAAAACGACGATCAACAGAAACTTATCCTCATTCAACCTTTGAACTATTAACTGTAGCAACAAAACCACTTCATTCTCCTATGTTAACTGCTAATAATCATTCAATAAAAACAAAAACTAAACAACTACAGTCATCATCAGCAACATCAAGACGTATTCGCTCTGCTTCACCATCAATAGTAATACCATCTATTATCGGAAAACATGTTCAATTATTAGCATCTGATGTATCCAATAATGATGATTCTCTAGTATCACCAATACCATCTCCTCGTTATCAAGATTTGAAACAAGAAGAAGAATCAGAAAAAGCAGCTGGTCCAGCATGTCCTGAATCATCTAATTGTTCAGAAATTCTTTCAAGTGTTTCATTAAAATCTAAAATAAAATTAAAACCTCAAATTTCACGTTGTCATAGTGCTATGGAGATAAAATCTTCCTTTAATAAAAATTATCCACGTTTTATATTAATAACTGATCAAGAACATCAAATTGAAAGTTGGTATCATCAATATCCATTTATTCTTAGTGATGATCTTCTTCAATCATTTCAATCAAAATCATTAAATAAAACTACAACATTAGCTTATTTTATTGATGATTATCAACAATTCATAAATTCAAATATAACAACTAAAACAATTTTACAGGGTAAACCATTTCATATAAATAATGATTGGAAAAAATATGATCTTATTTTTATATCCAATAATATTTATCAAGATATTATTATTTATTTACAAACAATTATTAATTTAATTATTAAATCATCAGGAAAAATAATTCATATTTATCAAATAAATCATCATGAAGATTTAAAAACACAAGTTAGATATATATGTAAACAATTAAATCAACAAATTTTTTCTCATGTTTAATTTTATACAAGTTTTTTATGTACTTTAAACATAGGAATGCACCTATTTCTAGAACATGACGGCAAAAATGACCTTTTTTTTCATTATTTAGATTATAGTTCCGTGTCGACTGTTAATATCAGTCTTGATTAGACATGTACAGAACTACAGGAAAGAGAAGCTGTTGAGACTGGGATCAGAACTACAAAAAAAAAATTTGCCAGGCCGGAACTCAAGTTTATAGTCAAATAGTTCTTGGTTTTAAGAAAATTATCTTATAAATCATATGAATGAGAATATAAGTGAAGAGAGATTACCAAAAAAAGTACTTATTGTCGACTAAAAGGATAAAAAGAAAACAAGTATTGAAGAATTATTTTAGATATGATACGAAGAAATTCTCGAATAGTTTTCTCTAGACCGAAAGACCAATAGATAAAAAAAGGTTAACGGGATTATTTTTTTTGGTCTATTCTAAGCTGTGGTCGAAATTCATGGAATACATAACAAAGAGTTCGGGATCGATTAAAAATTAGCATTTTTTACCTGTGTTTTTCATCCAATTATAATTGGTTCCACGACCTGTGTTTTCCATTGTATAAAGCCAAACAATAGATTGGAAAAGAGCGTTCATAACAGATTATCACTGGCATGAAAAGTTGTCAAGAAACAGCGTCGTAAAAAAAAACTCAAACATACAAACTTTTGGCTAAATCAGAAATCGTTTTTTTTCTATTCCATGAATTTCTATCACAGTGTTGCGTAGGCTAAAAAAGCAACAAATATGACTATCGACTGGGGTTTATATTCTTAATAAGAAAAATATGTCATCTGTAACATCATCTTCTAGATATTGGTGTAGTCCTAGTGAAAGATATTTCTTGATCTCATTGTAATAATTCCATTTATTTTTGATAATAATTGTAATATTTTTAACAAAAATTATTTAGTTTTTCTCTCAAACAATCAAAAGAAAACTACATACGATTCAAAAACAAAAGTTTTTTTCTACCAGAAGATTGAAAACGAACTACATTTAATATATAAAAGAATTTTTATACGAAATCCAAAAGCATTGAAAATAGAATTTATACAAATGTACAAATCACTGAAACACGTTTATTATACGATAAAGTTCTAATAGATCGAACTCGAAATATGTATTAGATTAAATTAATATTACTTATAAATAATCATTGAATTCATTTCATGATACGAATTTGATCAAGATTTTTTAAACATCAGTGTCACTTTTGAAAAAAGATTCCTTTGTGTTGTCCCTGCATAAAATCTATATAATTTAAATGTTTTGTTATTCAAATTTCTTGTCTATGAAATATCTCATTTCGTTTCTGATTGATATTCTAATTGAGAAAATTTCTTTGCTGATAAATAAAACAAGATGCGTCAAAATCTATCTCAGGAAAATCCTTTGTTTCTCATTCTCTAAAAATATCAAATATAAAACAATTCTGGAAAAATAAACTTCATATATATTTCGATATTTTTTCTGTGACATCACAAAGATACCTTATCTGCTACTCTTTTTCATTATCTTTAGATCATTATTACATAGCATATTATCAAATTTAGATTAAATGAACTGTCGTAATAAAATTTTTTATCTAAAAAATTGATGCTACGGTTTTAAATTATATCTCAGATTATATTTTTTTGTTGTCTGAATAAAACAACTATAACGGAAAACTAAACAAGTAATTGTATTACTATCCTTCTTAGTGATAATTATTAAGTTACTTCATGTACTCCGATATGTGTCTATTTAATACACAATGTAAATGCATATAGAACAAAAGTAAAACGGAGAAGAACAAAAAGAAAAGTAGAAGTGATTATATCAATTGAGGAGTGATATAATTATCGGTAAAAAGACAATGTTCATTATGATATAGATATTAAAAAAGACATTACATTTCAATGATTTAATCAGATTAAGAATTAAATTCTATTGGTCATTGGTTTTTCAAAAAGAATTTCAAATCATTTTGTTTGAAATTTCTCCTTCGCTCAAAAATTGATGTCGCTTCAGAAATTTTCAAATTGCTTGAAGTTTTTAGAATACGTTGAGACTATAGTAAAATTTTCATCTACATACCATATCCTTTTTAGGGATATATTCATGGAACAAGAATTTAAAGTAGTTCATTTGGCAATCGAAAATTCTCGGTAGACTCTCATTCTTTTATGTTTGACCTTTGAAAGAACAGGTCAAGATGCAGGACATGATAGAATCATTTCTTTTAAGATTCTTACTTTTTATGTGAAGAAACCGAGTAATAGATTCGATGCTTTAAAAGTCCTCTTTAAATAAAGATCTATTTATAGAAATGCTTCCATATTTAATAAAAAGAAAGAAGCTTACAGGCAAACCCATTTTATTGTGAACACTATGGAGACTGTTAGAAAGCCTTCGCTATATAGAGGTGTTCAGTTTAGAGTATTGATGCATGATTTGCTGTGAAATGAAGAAAATTCCCAGGACATCTACATCGACATTAATTGTAGATAAAGGCCTAGTAACTTATACTCTCTTGTTTATCTATTTTAGTTTAAATAATTTTCATTGAAAAATTATTTAATTACAGAACAAGATTTTTTTTTCAAAAATCCTTCAAATGTTTTTTTTTGTCTTTTTAACTTTTTCATCAATATCGATGTAAATTAGTTTTGATTCCAATCCAATAGTTAACTCTAAGTTTTACCTTGAAAATTAAGCTTGTGTTGTGACTTTATTATTTTCTTTATATATATAATAATGTATTATTCATAGATAAATTGCACTGAATTATAGTATACATGACCCAAGAGATACGCAGTAGAAAAAGGTTAAGAAAAGAACATTGTACACGTGTTGACATTAGAGAGATGATAATCAGTCAGAGAGAACATACAAAATATTCTCTGTTCATAATTAGGGCCGATACACTAATAGAAGTTTTACTACAATGAAAAAATGAACTCTGGGATTCGTTGGATCTTAAAATGTTCTTTCGAACATAGAAAAATATAATTAGCTAAAATGAAGTTTCTTTGAAAATTCTAGGATGCGTCAGTGAAAAATTGAAAAAGATTTTTTTCAATCGAAATTTTGTAATATTTTAATTGTTTCCGTTATTTAATCGGCTTATGTTTTTCTCTTAAATGTTGGAAAGACTTTTTTATCTTGAAAACTTAGTACAACTTGTCAAGAGACTTTTAAAATCCACCAAAATCCCTATTTACCCATATGATAAACACAAAATTCATATTTATGGAAAACGTGTTTTTTTGAAAGAAGATGATAGAAACCCTTGAATATTATATTAACAATGAGGCGTCAATCAATAGACTATCTTGATTATGAAACATTACATCACCGACAACCCTTCCGCGTATTTATCTGGATTTCGATTTTTCTTTCGAAAAAGACTGTTTTTTTTTTTTAAGAAAAACTTAAGCATCTTCTAGATATCATGTTCAGATTAAATAGGATCCATTATCTGTGGAATCTCTTGTTTAACAAATTTTCATCAGAAACGATCTATATAGATGAACATTAAAATTTGAAAAACAAGTTATAATGCTTTAGTAAATAACAAAAAAGTCATTGATGAAAAACTTCATTTTAGTTAATAATTCAATATTCTGATTTTGCCAATTAATCAATGATATATTGTCATGTAGAAATTATTCTCGTTTATTTAGATTTTTTCTCAAAATCGTTGTATTATTTTCAATAAACAATGTTACCAATCTTGTTCGAAACTTTTTCACTGAAAAGAAAAAGAATTAAGTAAAACTGTTTATTTATTTGAAAAATAAAATTTATCTTTTCAAAAAATATGCACCAGTAACTTTATTCCGGATTAAATCAATAAAACAAAATACTAAAATAATTTGACATGTATATGAATTGATCATTGAGATTTAATAATATCTAACATTTCTTGTTGTTCTTCGACTTGATGAATTATTTCAGTTGTTATACTTAACTTAAAATCTTCGATTTTTAATCGATGAGATTTTACATAAAGAACTAACGAAAATAAAATTAATAGAAAACCAAATGGTGATATTATCCAAGATAATTTGTATGATGCAGTCATTAGTAAAGAGAAAAATATGATAAAAACGAATGTATATATATATAAAATATATACCGAATAGATTCGATAACAATTATTAAAATGATATTTAACCATCTTTGTATTTGATTCAAGCTGTTGATTATAACGACAAAAACATGATGAACTTAGACTGGATGTCAATGGAAATAAAAAGAAATACAACTAAAAATAATTTAAAAAAAAGATGCAAGTTATTCGAAAATGAAAAAGTCGCTTTAAATTACTAGAACGATTCCTGAAAATATTTGTGAATCAGGTGGTAAATAAGCTCCTCGTATTAATGTACCCCAAAGAAATGCTGCGCCAAAATGGTCTGGTGTTAAATATCCGAAATACCATGGACCTAGTGAAATAGAAATATCTTATCGATCAATAAAAAAAAAAATGAAGATTTTTACCAATAAAATAATACAACGAAAAACCAAATAATGAATAGAACATAAAATCTACTGAGCAAAGACACATCATTCGAAGACGCAGTTGATGCCATAATGTACATTGAGCATTAAACTTAGCTGGAAAAAAAATAGAAAGTGCATGTTTGTTTTTCGTGAATTTATAGGAAAAAACAAGAAATAACATTTGTAATATTTCTATCGTAACGATCAATCATAAGAAAATAAGTTAGTTAGTCAAAATCTTCATCATTTTGTTCTTATTGACTAGATAATATCTATTTTTGTGCGTAGAAATAACTGACATGCATCGTAAAGATATGTTTTCTTGTAATGAGACTGCGACATATGTTTTACTAGATTTTTTTACTTTTGGCTAATGTTCCACTATAATATTACTCATTTTAATAATCTGTCATTGTATCTCCACCTAAGATCTCATTTCATGTGTCTATTTTAACATTTTTGCATACATGATTCTGTACCCAGAAACCTATTATATGTTTGATTTCTAAGTTTGACTTACATGATTTCTGTTTCGCTTGATATCGATAATATAATAATATGAAAATATAAGCAAATAAAGATAAAATTAAAATAACAAAGCCCTAAGAAATAAAAATCAAGAAATGCAAAAAAAATATTTTTTAGTTTGTTTGTTTTTTTACAAAAGTTGGTTGATGAATGGTAAGAATTATTCTAGATCGATTCCATTTTATTGATGTTGGTAATGATAAAGAAAATTCATGTTGTAAAATTATTGTATTATTTCCACTATCCTTAATTATAAAAATCATATATCGAATATTTATTTTATTTCAAAAAAAATGTTCGTTTTTTCTTTTTACTTTAATTTCAACAAATATTTTATGAAGATTTTCATCGTTATATAAACTTGTATTCCATGGAAGAATAAATAAATTTCCATTATCATTCGATTGAATCGCTGAACCAATATATTGTTCATCTATTGAAATAATAACATTACTAATAGATAATTTTGAAAAAATAACAATCCTGAAAATAAAATGTTATTTTTTGAAATGAATAAAACCTTTTTTTTTTAAATAACCTTATATGAGTACTATGACTTAAACGATGGAATGGTTCTCTTGGTGTGAGAAATTTTGATGCTTTTGGATTTGATATAATAGCATATATAGGTTGACTAAATCGAAAATCTTCGAAAGATAATAAACCCGAATCAATGGTTAATATACGAAATCTTAAAAGAAAGCAAAAAAAATGTTTTGTTTTTATTGAAATTAAGAAAATTAAAAAAAACAAAGAATACTTTACCGTCGTTTATCTTTCCAATCTCCTAATTCAAGTTCAAGTAATCCATTTGAATGACGAGCATATAAATGTTTAATACCAGAATGAAGATGACCATTTAAATAAGCAATACCATATTTCATTATTTGATCAAGTCCTTTTGAATAAGTAAATGTTAATGGATAATGACCGAAAAATATTGTTGAAGTAGAATTTTTAGTTTTTTCAAATAATTTTTTTAAAATTTTCATTTCTTTCTAAATATTTCAAATGAAAATTTGTCTTTTTTTTTCTTTAAATAAACAAATGATTATATTTACTTTACTAATATGACCAAGAAAATTAAATGGACGACCAATACCTGGTCTTGGACACATATCAACAGCAACAAATGAATACCTATCATCATCTTCTGTTCTTAATGTATATTCATATGAACCACTATGATTATGTCCTTGATGTGAGTAAATACTTAAATAATAAAATTTATTTGATTTAAAAAGAAAACTTAAAATTAAAAAAATGAATACCGATAAAAACTTTTTGATGAATCTGGATCTGAATCCATGAATACATCTATTGATCAAAAAATTAAAGATTAAATTTCGAAATAAAACTATCTTTCGTTGTTTTTTTTTACCATGATTTCCTCTTATATCAAGCCATTTTGTATGTGCTGTAACATTAGTTCGAATTAATACATCTCTATAAATACTCCATTCTTCTTCATATTGTTCTGTTCCAAATAATCGATCTGTTGAACTGCTAACACTGTTCACAAGATCACCTTTTAATATTAAATAATTTGTAATCGAATTTACCCCCCCCCCCCAAAAAAAAATGAATCAATTAATTTAGTTACCTGTTACAATAGTAACTTGTGGTTTTACTAATGCTTTTATAATTTGATTACAAAATTGTTCGAATTGTTGTCTTCGTTCGGCATGACCGAGATGAGTTATATGAGTATCAGTTATCTAATAAAATAGTTGAATTATGACATTTTCTTTTTCTCTAAAGAATATAATTACTTGTACAAAATGAAAAAGATGTTTTCCAGTATTACCAAGATATTCGTTAGATATAATAGGTTGTTTATTAGATATTAATGAATAATTTGTAGTAATATTTAGAAGAAAAAGTATCAAGAAAAATGAAAACATTAATTAGAATGAATCATATGGAAATAATTGAGATTCAATTGAATGACTTAATGATTATCTAAAAATATATAAGAAACAATATTACATATTGTTTAATGAAAGGAAGAACAAGGCGTTTTTCTTTCAAAACTTATATTTCATTATTTGTGTATTTGAAATTTATTTTTAAAATAAAAAAAAATTTTTCAAAAAGATTGAATAGTTTTTGAGCTAGTTCATTTGATTACAATGATAGACATATGGAGGTGAAAGCGACAAGGCCGTCATCTTTATCTGCAAGAGATTGTTTTCTCTTTTCTTTTAGCAAAAAAAAACACAATCGAAAAATAAATCTATACTAACGACGGGATGTACCTTAAAAAGTGATTTTTACTTATATAACATCCTTCGTTCAAAACAAGTCTCCATTGTTATTCGACATTGTAGATCTGTTGGTGATCAATTGCAATTTAGCTTAACTTTTATATAGAATATTAAATACACTTTCATATTTACGAGTTTTCTCATTGTGTTATCTATTGATAAATATTAATAACTGAGATACTTATATATATACAGATATCTATAATAAAAGTAATACTATGCGTGAGTTCAATTTATATCTGAATTACTTTTTCAGAAGCGTAACTGAGCACGGGACACAAGGGATATAGAGTGATGGAGTAGCAGAAAAAGGAGCGGTGTGAGAACAAATTTTAAAAACAGGAGAAATATTATGCGGACGAATTTCAGAAGTAGGAGGAGGGGCACCACGCACCACACGCCTTCCATAAGTTACACCCCTGTTCTATTCTTTTCTTTTGTTTTCATATATTTGTATTGTCTTATGAATAATTACAATGCGTCACAGCTCTTCTACTACAAAATGACACATGAAATAATGGCATAGGTTTCTTTTGTTTAGCTCTTTTTTCTTCTCTTCTGATAACTTTAATAACAAAAAAAAAAAAAAGAAATTAAAAAGAATTTAACCATTATCCATTTTATATTTCTGTACTAGAAAATAGAATAGTTAGAATCAACAATTTCCACCCACTAGTTCCTAATATAATTAGAAACATATATAAATAAATGTGTTAATTGTTTGTGATGTTCTAACGTCCGAAAAAGTTAGACGTAAGTCCAAACAAGATATTAATCGGAGAAAAAGAATTACTTCTTCTATATACTAACTCTCGATTGGTTTGCGTCTCTTTTTTCTCTTTCTCTCTTTTTCCCTAAGGTATTTTCTCGACGCAACCAAATATAAACAGTATTGCTACACATACTCAACATTTAGTATTTTCACCATTTTCATCAACAAGAAATTACAATGATTGTTCGTTCACCAATTGCTCTACTTCTAATATGTATTCTTTTTATTCATACACTATATGCGATTAATCCAGAATATTTTCGTCAACATAATCAAGAACAACAATTGTCATCATTAATTGAAGCCATGAATAAACAATTATCTGATCAACATTCGGACATGGCTTCATCTGAACAAAATCAAAATTATAATGATGATGATGATGATGACGATCAACCAATAAAACGTAATAAATATCCAAATTTTCATCTTAGCCCATTATGGTTATCACGTCGAACACGTACAAATCGTTTCTATGGAAAACCATTATGGATTTCACGAACAGGATAAGAAACAAGAACATAAAAAAACATAAAATAAAAAAAGAAACTTTCTTCTTTTTCTGATTAAATAAATATCCAATTTTGTTGTACATCACATTCTTTTTTTTTTTCTTTTCTTCGATCTAAGTATCATCTATAAAAATTGTATAAATATTCAAAGAAAAAGAACATGATATAACGAATTGGATATATATTAAATTCAATTCAAGACTTTGAATAACTTTGTTGTCATGAATTTCTAATAAATAGAAGAGAAAATAAAAGATGAAGTATTTATTTTATTGATCGAACATTTATTTCCTTAAGAAAGAAGCAAACTATGTTCATTACATCTTTTATTCCCATAGGAGTTATTTTTCAAATAGAACATTCTTTCAACTGTAAAAGTTACTATAACTACATTTTTTATTCTTAAAATAATTTTTCACAATCTGATTACAATTGGAACGAAACAGTCAACGAAAAATTTAACATAAACTTGTACTAAATGACATATTTTCGCTTTCAAGTTCAACAAGGTGTGAAAAAATAATGATTTTTCTATCCTTATTGAATATTAAATCAGCATATTGTCTTCTTTAATCTTTTTCTTCCTATTATAATCAAGATATAATCTACTTAATACTCATGTTCTTTCATAATTAATGTTAGATATTTTTTTGTTGAATCAAAAAAACATACTTATCTTTTCTTGTGCTAGAATAATACAATGCTACGCATTTAGGACAATCCTTCTTTGTGAAAATTTATTACAAACAATGTTTATAAATACTTTGACTGTAAGAAGGATAGTCAAGCTTATTTTTGTTGTATTTTTTTTGTCAGATTTACTTATATGTTATAACTATGAACAAAAATCAAAATAATTAACGTTTTCTATTCATTTTACGTTTGATTAATGTATACGTGCTATGTTATTGATCAAGAAAGGAAACCATTGATAAACTCAGTGATCTTATTCTTTTCCTACATCAATATGTATATTTTTGAAATAATTTCTTTGAAATAAATTTTTAGAATATTAAAAATTTTGTTTTTATCGTGAGAATTACGATGTTTAATTAATTGATGATTGGCGGCATCTAGAATGGCTATGTACTAGTCGACGTTCTTGGATTTATTCTTTCTAAGGTCTTTGTATATATAAACTTCAGCATAAAACTGTTCTCTGAAAAAAAAACCAGGCTAACTTTTTAGTAAGATGCATGTAACTTGAATCCTGCTTGATTAGACAAGAAGTACCTGGCCAGTAAGATTCTTGTTTTGTTGGATTCTTATTAACTAAATGAAGTATTTGTTATTCTTTAATAATAAGACTATGTTCTTTGGTTGTTACTCTATTTTTACTTTAAGCTTGACAAAAAGTACATGAAAAAGCAAAATATAATTGCGGAATAAAGTACATCAAATCTCAGCAACTTTAAATGAAAGATAAAACGATGAATATTTACTATTATTAAAAAAAAATTGTTTCTGATTTCTGAAATGAATTTGACATGTTCATTAAAAATAAAACCAAAAAGAAAAAGAAAAAATAAACAATAGAATTAATCATTAATGTACATAAAAAATATATTAACTTTTATTATAATTTGTTCTTTATTTTCTTCATCATCTGAAATTGATAATGTTCATCTGTCATTGATATTCTCAGTTTTGATAATATTGTTTTTTTTTTTTGTAATTTTCTAAAATCCATTATACATTAGTTCATGAAACGTTCAACAGATGCATTTCTATTGAATATATTAATTTACTTGTCATAGACAGGCAACTCTTGCATCATATAAATTGAACGTGTTTTATTCATTGAATATAATACAAGAACAATAACCTGACATTGTATACTAATGAATGAATTACGTACAGACATTTATATTAATAAACTTAATTATATAGACATTACATAGCCTTGATTTTGAAGGTCAGATCAGAGAGCCTTTTTTCTTTCTCTATATATAAGAGAATCTATCTTGTTTGAACTTCAACAAATCTTTGTTTTCATGTCATTCATTTCCAAATTCATAGTTTCTTGATTCATTGAACAAGATCTTTTTTATTTTGAAAAGAATAGATCTAAGATCGTCAACAAGTGTGATGATTTCGATTGAATCTCTATTTGAGGAGTAAAAGAGAGGACTATGAAGAATTTGCTCGTATAATATGAAAGTAATATCGTCTGATGAAAACAAAAAAGCAATCCAAGAAAATATCAAGAGTGCAATTTTTCTTCCGCCACCCGTTGTTCTTTAGAAAATAGACGCTTATCTTGTTTTTCTATGATTTGATCTAGATCACTGTCTGTCTGTCCGGAAATAGATTAGAAATTTTTGACGAAAAAATATCTATTTTAGAGATAACAAATTATGGTAGCACTTTCAGAATAAAAAGCCACTCACAAGAAAAACTCCACCAGATGTAATAGAAGGCCATGGTTTTCTAAAATCGTTGTTCGGAAACTCACCGAGTTATCGAACTTAAAAGCCTAGTTTTTGAATAAATTACTATTTTTTCTAGTAGAAAAGTATGTTTTTTTAAGTGAAAATTCTGGTTTTTGGCGTTGATTTTCTCAAAATGCCTATTTAAATACGAAAAGAGTCTTTGAAAAACCTTTCATTTTCTGAATAAATGTTACAAGAACAATTTAGCCAAGCGTAGAAAGTCATGACCTTTTATTCCAGCAGTTTGACACAAATCTAATTTCATTTTGAATACAATTCTCTTGTTTTCCATAGATTGACAACTAATAAACAATGAATTATGATAAATAAATTAATGTAATCTTTGCCATGAGAAAAAAAACGAATATTTTAATATATTTGAATAATTACCGACTTTAAAATATTAAATTGAGTATTCAAGAATGATTTCTTCAACCATTCAAACTACATGTTCCTATCGTGTTTCATCCTACACTCTGAAATAATTTTAATAAAATAGACTGCATTCCATTCATTAAAGTCAATACTTTTCCTTCGAGAACTAAAAACGAGAATGTATTTGTCTTCATGAACATCTCGAATGTAATTCAAGAGCAAACTCATAGATTTTAGATAATAGTTCATATTAAAGTCAAAGTTTTATAATAAAAAAAAAACTCGTTGTCAATACGTTTTAAACAAAAGAAAGTTATTGATAAAAACTTAAAAGAGATTTGAATGTCTTACAATTATTACATATTTAGATTTGTCATACTTTTGATTAATAAAAATGTCAGATTATCATCATTTTACTATTGAGAGTCATTCAAAGTATAACAACACATCTTTTATCTATGAACTACGATTAATTAATTTTAACATAAAAGACTTTCTTTGAAACAAATAGAAAATTTATGAATATTGTTATTTGATGAGATTTTCTATTATTTATGAAAGAAAATGTAACTGTCCTTCGATCTTATTGCTACGTAATTGATCAATAAATTCTCTTGAAACGTCAATTGTGCGATCAAATGCATAATAACATATTTAAATATCATTTATTCACCTTTACGATAAATTGAATCACTTAAATATATTCTTCATCTAATTCTTTAAACATCAATCTCCATGATAAAAGTTTTCTTTTTGTTACAATTAGAGAAAAATATTTCTAAATGATAAAAAAAAATAGTTTATTTATTTTCTCACATGTAAAATATGAACATAAGAGATCTATGCATAAAGTCACAGGTTACTTTTTAAGTAGACATTATATGATCGATAGAACGATCAAAATTTGAAGAATCATATTTTGGTGGTGGTGGAATTTGTCTTTTATCATCATCATCTAGACTCGCTTGAACACGAGTTGCATTAACAAAACTTGTTTCCATTGGAACATATATTCTATGACCGATTGGACGAATAAATGACGAACCATTTCCTAATGGATCATCTCCCATCATACCACCGGCAGTTAATGTTGCCATACAAGGATTTTGCAGTTGAAGTTCACGTTCTCTAAAAATAATTTCAAACAATTATTTTATAAAAACAAATATCTAATCAAACCTTGAAACTCGTCTTGATAAACGATAAGTAACAAACGTTCGAATAGCAAATAAAATAAGAAAACCAATAATTAAAATGACTATAATTGACGAAATAATCAACACAAACAAACCAATACCACTAACTAAATGACACAATGTTTTTCAAAACAGAAAAAAAAAACAAAAATAACTTAATCTTATCATAAATCTCAACTTACTATTTTGACATCGTTTTCCCGCATGAAAAAAATCACAATCACATTTATAATCTCCTGGTAAATTAATACATGTAAATGATCCACAAATTCGATCATTTGAAGCACATTCATTAATATCTAATTCACACATAAGACCTCCATAACCCGGTAAACATACACATTTACTTGTTACATTTGAACAATAACCTTGAAAACAACAAAGATTCTTTCCTTCTCGTAATTCAAGCAGTCAACAAAAAGAAAGAGAAAGAATAGAAATGACTGACCTCCATTTAGGCATTCATAACGGCTGTCGCAGATGCCATTCTGTGGTATTTCTATAAAAAATGACATATATATCATATATACATGTATAATTATTTGGATATGAGGGTTCAACGGATGTTAGAATTGTGGTTTACGCTCTTTTGACAGGCGCATAGAGTAGGAAGTATTACGTAAGAAAAAAAAAAAAAAAGAATTTTTTTACCTTGAAGCACACAACGTCCGGTTGATGAGGAAAGTGCAAAACCAGGAAGACATACGCAGCTGACACCACTCTCATTCGATAAACGTATGCATACTGCACGACTGTCACATTTAGCACAATTGGGATCATCTGCTTGACCGATTACTAGTAATAAAAAAAAAATAGACAGATTGATTTCAATAATTAAATAGTATTAAAAAAACAATACTAATCATTATGAACGATTTGTTTTTTTTTTATTTGAATGACTATGAATATTCTTTTCTTTTTTTTTCCCAATATTAATAGACATTTTCTTGGTTGAATACTTCAGCAAAATGATATGATTGACATCGAATAGCTCTATCGATTCTTTTCAAGTAGAGATTTATAACATATGTATTGCACAAGAATTCATTCTCGGTCTTATTCATAATTGTTTTAGTATCATTTGATAAATCCCTCATCTGTTTTCATATTCCGTTTTGTCTTGTTCAAACATACAAATGTTGATCAATATATGTCTTAGGTTATTACTAATAGTATCAATTGAACCAAGGGGAGGGAAAAATATTCTCGTCTATTTAGTAGATGTCTCCAAGAGAAATAATCTGACACTTGTATTACAATATTAGACAAACATACAGCTTTTACTTAAAGGTCGTCAGTTTGAATTGAAATTTGATCAGTGACAACTGCTGAACACATATATATGTATATGTAGACAGCGGAACCAATTTATTTTGTTTTTTTTCTCTCTCTCTCTTTCTTTCTTTTGCTCTTTACTTACCTGTAATTTGATTTTGTCCATAAACGATCCCAATAGGAATAAGAAACAGAAAAGGAATCAAAACGATCGTCGACATAGTTTAAAGATTAGCTGCCAATACACACCGAGTATAAGAATGATTGTTTTAAAATGAGCTCGTGTGAAAAAATACTCTTCTCTTTTCTACTCTCATTCTCTTGCGCAATGGTACCAAAAAAAAAACTTCTCTCACTTCTTTTCTCTCATTCTCTCATTGACCAAAGAAATGAAGCGAGAAAAAGAGGGACTAGTACATCTATTCTTTCTCATATTCTCTTTCTTATTCTGATTTTATCCTTGAAATAAATAAGCAATACATATACTTATGCCTACTCATACATTAATTCATATTTCATTGACATATTTTGATGAGAAAATAATCATTTTCTTTAAATTTTTTATGATGCCAATATCTGGTTATATACTTTTTTTTTTCATCACAACCAACCAGACATAAATCAAAAACAACAACAAAAGATAAGCAAGAAAAAACCATGAAGTAAAAAGAAAAGGATTGAATACATATATTGAAGCGTATATTTAAGTGCATGTGTAGAAAACACAGATACAATGTTCTAAGAAAAAAGCACAAAACATCAGTTCAGACAAAAAAAAAGAAAACAAAACAAAAATCAGGGATCATACAGAAAAACGATAATCAAATGATCATGTTCTTGGTTATGTTTAATAATCAAAAAGAAAAATGAGTATATAGCTATTTATCTAAATAGAATAAATGAATAAAAAAACGAAAAAGAAAAATGTTTACCTTGATTATTTATTTTATCGACTATTACGCGATCGAGATCGTGTTTTTGAACGTGATCGTCGTTCTTCTGATTGAGATGAACTATTCGATCGTGAACGTGAATATGATCGTGAACGACTTTTCGAATGGGCATGACCACTACCTGATCGACTACTTTCGGAACGACTACGACTTCTAAATACATATTTTTCTCTAATAAAACTATTAAAACAAAAAATTTTTTACCGTTCTTTCTGTCGTGATGTATATCCATTTCCTTTTCGTCTTGGACTACGACTTCTTGATGTTGACCTAGAATTATTATTAATTATCAATTATTATTATCTTATTTCAATAAAAAGACTTGCAAGGAGTGAAAAATCACCTACTTCTTGTTTTTTTTCATTGATAAATGAAAAAAAAGACGTTTTTTTTTTTCGTTGTAAAAACAAAAATGATATTTTTCGTCTACGATTTATTGATCGTATACACACCTTTCAATATTGACGTGAAAGAAATAGAATGAATAAATCGAGAATTCTTCTGATTTTGATCCGATTGTTTCAAAGATGTTTTGTTTCGTTATCTGATATATTCTGACTCCAAATCGAACAGAAGAACAATATATAAAATACGACGATGAACATCTATCGAATTTTTTTGATCGTTTCCATCAATGTTTTTCTTCTCGATCTAGTAGTATCAATGCATCGTACACATCAATCGCTCGCTCGTTTCAATGACTCTCTTCATCAACGTGTATGTGAACTAAAAACAGATACTTTCTTCTTTTTTTATGTTTACAATTCATTAGAAACAAAAAACAAGAACAAAAACATCAATGATGACTTCATTTTAAACATATATGCATGCACATAGATTACAGAAAGAATATTTATCTTACCTCATACGACGTTGACGTCTTAAACGAATTTCACAATCATATGCATAATGACCACGATCTAAAATTTAATAAAAAAAAAACAAAAAGAATATATTCATTCTTATGAATTTTCTCGTTATTATTTTAAATAAAAGTGAATAATTTTCAATTAAAGATAGAATAATCACTGAATTTTTAGAATTATTACATATATAAGAAATTGACAAATCAATTTAATCATTCAGGATTTTCGAATCATTATAAACCGAAAAACTTTCAAAACAAAAGTTTATTTGAATTTAGACTAGAATCATTCAAAAAGTTGTATTTTCAAATTCATCTTCATTTATTCTGCTTTCTCTTTTTGATAAAGTTTGATACAGTAAGAAGAATAAAGGCTTTCTTCTGAAATTTATTTAACACTTGAAATACTATTTGCTTTTCAATGACATTTCGCAAAAAAGTAAAATCAAATTATTATTTAATGAAAAAAACCACTCAAACCGATACCTATTATTTTAACTCGTATTGAACCTACAAGGACGTTCTGATGAAACTAACAAAAGTCTAAAAGGATTCATTTCTATAGGTTTTTTGTAGTCGAGTTCGAGTTGCTTTACTGAATTTTTGACCTAGTGCCAAGCGCATTTGAGACTTAGACAAAATTAAACAGAACTTTTAAAAGATTGGAGCAGACAAATGATTTCGTAACCTACGATGCAAAAGTAATTGCCGAAATCTCCAGCCATAGTTCTCCATTTAGGAACATCTTGGAAAATAATTTTCTTCTTTTATTGAAAAGAGCAATGTCTGAACTACAAATTTTGTGCGAGCCATATTTTTCTAGAACGAATCTGAGAAGGAGGGAAAAGTCAAAACTCCAACACTTCTAAAAAAAGTCCTTGCAACTTGAAAAATGTGTGTGTCTCGATTATTTTAGGTTGCATGAGCTAAAATTTCATAAAATATACACCAAAATGTAGAGCATCAAAAACTGTATCGGTTTGAGTGGTTTTTTTCATTAAATAATAATTTGATTTTACTTTTTTGCGAAATGTCATTGAAAAGCAAATAGTATTTCAAGTGTTAAATAAATTTCAGAAGAAAGCCTTTATTCTTCTTACTGTATCAAACTNTCTCTTATATGACCCGCACAATAGTATGTTCTATCCTTACAATAGGAGTGTATCAAAATGGGGTATCACATGACTGGCCATGCCCATATATATACAAAACCATATTTCAATTCTATTTTTATTTCTTCGCTTCGATCTAAAAATGACGATTTTAAAAAATGATTTCATCATTACCAGATCATATGATAATTGTAGACAAGCTATTAAAATTCACGATCGACTCTATGCTATTCAATTTATCTATTCGTTACTTTCAATACTTTTGTTAGAATTACATATTAAAAAAAAATGACTTGAACAACGATGTGATGTTTGACAATACAGGAACTCGATTGAAATTATATTCTATGTTAAATCGAGCTGTTTGCAATGATCATCTTAGCATATTTATTCTTGCTTGTTTTCATAATGTGATCATTTTTATTTCTACTATAGATTCTCCTTTAGAGTTACTTTTTTCTACGATTATGAAAAATAAAATGTCTACAATGAAGGAGACGTAATGTTTTTCTTTGATTGTACCACTTGATGACCTATATTAACTTTATACTGAAAACGTATCTTTAAGTATTAATACAAGCGTGACAGTTGATTATATATTAAGTTATTTCAAGACAAATGTTGACGCACACAATTTTTTTTTTTTATTAAATCATCAACAATTCTATTTATTATCCGATTATAAGATATTTTTCATCAACATGGATGTTTCACCCATGAGAATTTATTATTAATGCATAAAGTTGTCCTTTCACTTTGTATCACAAAGATTCATGAGCAAAATTACATTGTAAAAAAACGGAATAAAAGCCTCGCTTCAATAAGCAAATGTCTCTAATGTAAGCACTTAAAATACAATATATAAGCGTTGTACTTGACCAACTACTCATTATATTTAAGTATGATGGATGGTGAATAAAAAATAAAACATTTTTCTTTTTTCTTTTTCAAAGCTGGAAAAAACTTTTAGTACTTAATCGTTCTAAAACAAAAGATAATCAGGTCAAAAATTCTTTCTCCTAAAACAGTACAAGTCTGTTTATCAACAATCATTATTCTTCTTTTTGGGTACACAGTAATACGAAACGAAAAGACATAGAATACAAATCGATACTGCTCGTTCATTGTAAAATTGATTCTAATCATCAAAGTTGAAGATTTTTGTCGAATAGTGATGTATCAATAACAACTCTTAATCAATGAATAAGCATATTTGACAAGATTAACACGATCGTTCAAATGTGAATTTTTAGACAAGGAAAAAAACTTTAATTCAAAGAAAAATTTAATTATAATAGTTAAATAACATATCAAATAACAAAAGAAAAAGAAATGGACTTGTTAACTAACTAAACAATTTTTAATTTCAAGAGAAAATAAACAGTACGTGTTGAAATATGATCATCGATGGAAAATAATTATCATACGAACTACACATTGAAGCTCACGTTCGAACAAAAACAAAAAAAAGAAAATTATTGTTTTGTAGATAAGTGAAAAATAGATGTTAATAGAAAACTTTTGTTTTTGTAAAAAATTGTTTTTATGTTGATAAACTTCATAACAAATAAAAAAAATTCAGTTTGATCTATTTACAATTCAATGTAAATTGTATTCACTGATGCATTTAACAAATTTGGTTAGAAACAAAAAAAAAACATTTTTAATTGTCATACGATGTAATATTAATTTTTATAGCTGGTTTCATTTTCTTTTCATATGAAGACACAATGCATCTTAAGTAAAGAAACTTATATTTTTGAATAGCACAAAATTTTCTATCTTTTTCTTTATTTAGGAAGAAATGATTTTTCTCAATAAGAGATGTACCAATTTAAAATTTAGTGTCCCAAAAAAAAAAAGTTCTTGTCCTAATAATTAGCATTGTGCCTTGATTATGTTTTAGTTTCATTTTATACTTTATCATAATTCAATTTTTCATACCTTGAGCGCCCCTCAAATATAGAAAAAAAACTTGTATCGTCGTTATAGTTGAAACACTTATAGCTCGATAGAGCTGAGTATGGTGATTACATAATATCACATTTATTTCTAAAACTAATGCAATAATAAAAAAAAGGTAGTTATTGATTTGAAGACACATAAAGTTCTAAATCTAATTTTATCGAAAATCTATTCATTCTAGGCAAGATTTCATTTTCTAATAGACTCTATAAGAATTTCTGAGATATTCAAATCTTTCTTTCAATAAACGCTGAATACTGCTACATTGGTTCATTTAATTAGTAAGAGTGAGTTTTACACCTTGTAAGAAGTTATCGGTTTATAGGAATGCACCAACGAGATAATTTCCATTGAATTCATAATTTAGTGTGCTCTTTCTGATGACACTATTTTTAACTTGAAATCTGATGTCTGGTAAAGTACTTTTGCACTAATCAGTATTCTTCAGATTCGATTTGTCTCCTTTTCGACTGATATTTGACAATTTTCGAACAGAATAATCGCTATTTGGTTTCAGGTAAATATCATATTTTTGAATGAGCACAAAAAAACTGAGCCGACTTATATGTACTTCAAATTGTCTCTACGATTTTGTTTTTCGGTCAAAATTTGACCCGTGGAATTCTCTTCAAGAATATGCCTAAAAAAATTTATTTGATTAAAATAATTATTTTATTGTTTAATCATCTCTTCTTCTGTCTTTCAGTGACATTTTACATGCCCCGAATATCTTTTCTACTCCGTAGACGTTTTTTTTAAGTTCTTTCTTTGGTAAATCCTTGAGAAGGATTAATGTCAACATTTGACCAAAAAACCAAAGTCACAGATACAATTTGAAGTATATATAAGTCAGCTCAGCTTTTTGTGCTCGTTCCAAATATGATATTTATCTGAAGTCAAACAGAGATTATTCTGTTCGAAAATTGTCAAATATCAGTTAAACAGGATACAAAATAGGAACTGAAGAACAGTGATTAGAGCAAAAGTACTTTACCAGATATCAAATTTCAAGTGAAAAATACTATCATCAGAAAGAACATATTAAATTATGAATTCAATGAAAATAATCTCGTTGGTGCATTCCTATAAACCGATAACTTCTTACAAGGGGTAAAACTCACTCTTAATAATTAAATAAACTAAAATAGCAGTATTCAGCGTTTATTGAAAGAAAAAAAAGGCTTGAATACCTCACAAGTTCTTATAGAATCTATTAGTATGAAAAATTCTACATGAAATGAACCGATTTTCGATGAATTGAAATTGAATTTTTCATGGGTTTTCAGATTAACAATTACTTTTTGTTCTTGATATCTGAGGGACACTTCAGTTATCAAAAATTGAATTGCGTTTTTAGTATGGTAAGTTAATAATTGAGCACATCTCATTTCTAAAATTCTGAAAAAGATAATACACAATTGTGTTTATTCTTATGCGCCATTCTTAATAGTTTGTAATGTTTAAACTATTTGCAACAATTGATAATTCTCTATGTTAAACTGAAACACCTATACATAATAAATATTATTTCTACTTATTTATATTGTGTCAATAAATGAAAAAACTTGTATTATTTCTTCTAGAGCATTGAAATGGTAATTTAACATTGAAACTATTGTTTTGAATTAGAAAAAATTGAAGAGAATAATATTTATATATCTGTTTGAATAAAATAGAATGTCTTTTTCTATGCATTGATGGTATATATATATATCATTGTAACATGATTATTTGTTGAGTTGAACGAAATTTACTTTGAAGGACAAATCTTTTTTAACGAAATAAACATGACAGACTTTTGATTGTCAAGAAATTTTGTTTATTTTACTTTCCATTTTCTCTTACATATTGCCTTTTGCATCTTTGGCATTAAATTAAAATCTTTTCAAAGTTGAATTTTTTTTTTCAAACGAACTTTATATAAAACAAAATTGAAAGGAAATAATCAATTTTAAATAAAAAATATTTATGAATATTTCATTGATTTTTTTTATGTCATTGTCATAGAATATTTAAAAAAAACATTCTTCAATTTTATTATTAATGTTTTTTTTTTTAATTGAACTATTTTTCTATTCAAATATAAAACTTGATGAATAATCTTTTGACATTAAGTTCTTATTTATAAATAAAAAAATTAAATTCGAAACATGGTGAGATTTTACTAACAATAATAGACTTACAATAAAATGATTATTCTCGGTCAATTTACATTTTTTCTATTTCTAAAATTCGACTCACATAGGTGCTTCTACAAGGCGAAATTAAATTGAAATTTGACGTTATAGTCATACAGAGATCATAACATCCATTGATAAGTCTATAGTATTGAATTTAGTTCATGTTGTTGAATAAAACAAATGAAAAAAAACTAAGGATTTGATGTGTATTAAAATGTGTCAAACTTTTCTTTTTCTATGAAGAATTATGAATAGGAATCCCCATAATTGAATATAATTAAATCTAAAATGCATTTACTCTGATTCAACACCGTCAAAAATTACCTTCTGTTTCTTTCTTTTTTCATTCTTCACACTTTTCTCTATAAATGTTGCGACTACTCGACAGAGTTGATTTCAATTTTGTCCATAAACATTTTGTAAATTTACGAATCAATTAAAAAAAAACTTTTTTTTTCGTTTTTCTAGCATCTACTTGCCATCATTTTTAAACTCTATTCAATAATAACAACATTAAGTCATGTGTTCTTCATAAAAAAGAGAGAGAAAGAGAGAGATGGAACAGAGAAACTATTTGGTTTACAAAAAGAAAATGTTCGAAAAAAAAGAGAGAAAAGTAGAGTGATGAAACCAGACGACCAATCGACAGGAGATAAAGAAAAATAATACTTGAAAGACCACAATATTCATCAGCGGTAACATTGCTTTGTCATTTTGACTTTATGGTAAGATAAAACAACAGGAGACAACGAAAGAAAAACTCATTTCATGATTCTTAGAATATAAAAAAAGACATAAAATTGTTTGTTGAACTATAGAAAAGAAAACTGAAGCCTGATAAGTTTTATGTTTTATAGTTAAAAAACAAAAATGTTTTATACTATAAGTAAACTTTATATACACTCACTTTATAAGAATAAAATATTGCTCACTTAATAACTGTTATTTATTGAAAGAAATCAATTAACTTTTTTTCATTCTCAAAACTAAAAGAAACCTTGGATTAATATAATGCAAGTTGAATGACTTTTTTTAAAGATTTCTCTGATTCATGACTATTCGATTGAAAAACTATGTAAGGAGTAGTTTTTTTTTAATATCTTAATTAAAAACAAATAGATCCTATTAATCGTTTTTTCATGTCTTAATACTCTAATGGATTTTTATGATAAAATTAAAACGTTGGTTTGTTTATAAAAAGCTAAAAGATGTTTCATGTTTGTTTTTTTTTTCTTCCATTAGAAATAATGCAATTTAAATCGGTTTGCGGTTAGTATCAAAAAGAAACATTCAGTTTTTTCTTTTTCTTTCTTTTAAAAAGTCTATTGAATTTTGTTTTTCTTTTTAAAAAATGGTGACGAACAAATGAATGACCAATAGATGCAATAATCATATTGTACTATTCATGTTGGTCAAATACTTACTCATTAGTGTGATTCGACTCAGTTATTTTGATTTTAATTTTTTCTATATAAAAAATCAAATATATTTAAATTAAATAATCTGATTATTTTGTAGATGCTAGTGAAGAAATAAATTCTCACAATAAATATGGAACAATTAAGTACTCTCAATACGGCAGCACCCATTGATTATGATAATTTAAATATTGTTATTCATCCACGACCACCGCGACGACGTCCAAGTGGTGTATCATTAGTACCGTTTCGACCTTATGTTAAATGTTTAACTAGTGTACGAAAACCATTTTCATTTGCTAATGGGAAAGATCCATGGATGACTATCGGAAAAACAGAAGAATTATTTAAACAAGAAAATGCAAGATGTATTGGTTCATTAATTGATGATTGTGATGTATCGGATGTTATTCGATGGGATATTGCAGGAGAATCAACTCGTTTACCTATGATGTGCAAATTATGGATAATTGGTATAACGAATTTTTTCATTTTATTTTTTGTAAATTTACATGTTTTTCTCTTCTATAGTTGATGGCGCTGTTGTTGAACGAGGAAAACCACATTTAGTTCAAGATGCAGCTATTCAAGTGTGTACAGCAGGTCGTAATCGTCGTTCGATATTAGCAGCTGAACAACGATATAGACAAACATCTGTATCAACATTTGATCGACGTCGTCGTCATTCTTGGCATGATGTTAATGAATATCATAGTGTACCATATTATCAATATACTCGTTCTGTTCGATCAGGAAATCAAGAAGGTGTTCAATGTGATCTGGATAATGAACATTTAATAAGTATACAACAGTTTCTTCCATTTATTAGAGAAGAAATAGTTGAAGAACATAAACCGACACGTATCGAAGAACATTATGCTGAAGAAACAGTACATACTCATCGAATACCAGAACATCGAGTTCATGTTTCAATAATGACACAAACAGAGTATGAATTTATTTGATTTTTTGTTTTGTTATATTAAATAAAAAGATAAATGTTCGTTGGTTTTTGTTTTTCTTCTTTGTTTAGACATCGATCTCTTGATAAATCAACAGAAACTGATGATGGATTCGTTAAATTATTTAATCTTGATTTACAAACAAATGAAAATCTTTTATCATCTGTTGCAAATCTATATGTTCGTAATTTTTCATCACATTATGATTCAGAAACAAGAACATTAATTCGTAATGGTATTAGACATTCAAATCAATCAGTATCAACTGGTGATGATTATCCTCCATGGTGGCTTCATCTTTCACCTAGGATAATTTTATCGGATTTTATTACAAATCATGGTGAACAAAATAATACAAATTTTACTTTTATTTCTCCAAGACAACAAGATCAATCAATACAAACAGTTACTGAACCAGATACAGAAATAGAATTCGTAAAATATCGAACATCATCATCAGCAGCACAATCACCACATATTCGAAAATCTTCATCTTCTGTAACTATAAGTAATAATTGTGAAATTATTGATCAAATTGATGATGGAAATAATTCAAGAAGATTATTACCTTTGACTGATCATCGTCAAAGAGTAAATTAGATTAAAATATTCTTATTAGATTTGTTTCTTTTTTCTGTTATTGTTATTTAGATTGATTCATATGGTAATTTAGATCGTCATTTAAGTGATTGTCAATTCGAAACTTCATCAATTTGTGAAAATGATTCTTTAAATCGAGCAAGAACATCATCAAAACATTCCGATACTGGTTATAATACATATACATCAACTGTTGATCAACCATCATATTCAATATCTAATCCTTGTAGTATTCAAATTCCATATCGTTATTCAACGAATGAAATAAACCGAAGAATACGAACACAAAGTTCAGAAAATACATCATCTATTGTATTAGCAAGTTTACTTGAAAGATATGAAAGAACATTACGTGAAAGACAACGAGCTATTGCGATTGTTAATGATGAATTATTAGATATTGACGATGTTCTTAAACATTATAGAGAAAAATTACAAAGTCCAATAGCAACAAAATCAGATAGAGTAAAAAATACGAAAGAACAGTTTTACCTTTTTTTCTGCTCAATTTTATATGTTTTTTTTTTTTTATTTAGACATCCCAACTTTATCGAGATATAGCATTATTATCATCTCAATCAAAAGAAGAATGTCCATCATCATCAGAATTAGTAAGTCATTTAACAAAAACAAAATATCGATCAATGACAAATAAAACACGCGAAGAAATGGTTAAAAATTATGCTCCATCACCTCGAATTCATATATCAAATTCAATATTCAATTCTCCTCGACAACGACAACCACGTTTTGATTATTGTAATTTATGTTTAAATGAATATGGTACAAGTTCAGCATGGATTCGTTATAATGAAGGACGTATTGATAAAATACAAAAACGTATTGATTTAATGCTTCAAAATGATGATAATGAAGAAATTAAATTTTTATTATCAACTACAAATCCAGTTACACAACGTATGAATGATATTCTTATGAGAAAACCAAAACGTCGAAATCACATAACTTATTACCATGATCGAATTAGTATGTTAAATTTTTTTTCTTTTGTTTAAACGATAAAATAATTTGCTTTTATTTAGTTTCACCTCATCGATATAATTTTCGTTTACCATATCGTCTAAATCAAACATTATCAAGTTGTCCTCGTCTATTAACACGCAATGTAATACGATCAACACCTTCAGTATCAAAATCAGTACGAATATCAACAAATCATGATTATATTCCAAATGAAACTCATCTTCGTGAACACACATCAACGTCATTAAAAACTCTTTCTCGACCAACTGTTTCTATTTTACGTCGTAACGTTTCAACATCAACATCACGTTCACATCAATTAGTTGAACCAACACATGTATGGAAAAGTGATATTGATGGAACAGTTTATATACTTGAACAATTTAGTATACCACGTTATTATCGTTTATATAATGATGTTAATTTTAGAGAAATTTACAATTTTTCACGTATACTTCAATCATATGTAAATCATAATCGATTAACTTCAAAAGATTATTCATCGATTATAAAAAACTTTGCATTAGAACAACAATTACCAACTATAACAAGCGTAGCATAATGAATTTATTTTATTTTATTTTTTTGAATGAACTTTTTTCTTGATACAAAAAAAAAGGGGATATTTAATTAGATATGTCGTATGAAAATTTATTTATTTAGATCGATTGTAAAACTGTCTATTTTCTTCTGTAAACTTTCTTAGTTGTTTTATATTTACTTTCAACAGAAAAAAGGTCAATAGACAGAATTTTTTTTTTTTAAATCTTCTTTATATTTTAAATCTAAATAAAAGAATGAATAAAATAATCTTGAAATATTTTACAAAACAAAAAGAAAAAATCTGGTTTATTGTATCTATATTGAAATACTTAAAGTCAACTATAATTAATGATTTTTGTAGATAAAACTTCACAAAATAAAGTTAATCAAGTTTTTACTCTGGCAAGTATTCGACTTTGAAATCATGATTATCCGTCTACAATTAAGTTGTTTTAAGACATTTGATAAAAATACTTTTCCAATCATATTTGATCAAAAATCGAACGAACACATTAAATTTTAATTAGTCTTAGCTTCGAGGTCTGTCACATATAAATCAGTGTAAAATCTTCGGCAGTGGCGGATTTATGGGGGCGCTAGGGGCGATCGTCCCTAGTCCAAAAAAAACTTTCGGTTTTTCCCAGCAGAGAAGGCTAAAAATAAGCTAATACTACGTTTTGTGATCATGATCGCCTCTGGTTTCCTCTAATAAAGCGCGCCTAGTCTCCCTGAAGCGACCTCCCCCCCCCCCAATCATAAAAATCCTGAATCCGCCACTGGTCTTCGGAGTAGAACGGTTACGAACGACGAAACTTTCATCAAAGCTACAATTTGACTCTGCATGAAAACGAAGTAAACTTCTAATAAACAGCATTATATCAAGATTTTCCTAAAACTACTTATCAACAGAATTAGACGGTGGAGACCATTAGGTAGTGCTGGGGACATCAAAAGCCATTGTTAGAATGTTCAATCATAAAAAAAATTAATTTTTTTAAAAGTATCTAACATCTAGACTATCCATGTCATACTAAAATAAAAAGCGTTTTTTTCACTCGATTATTAGCAAGATTTAGTTTTATATCGATATAAACTTAATAAATGTTTTGCAATAGAAATTGAGATTTTATGATTCTCATTTATATTTTTCTTGAATTATTATAAATATGATCAATATTGAATTGATTTACAATCGAATTTAAATGACGTCGTTGTTCGGCTAGAATCATAATTGGTAAAGAATAACATGTATATTTATATGATTGAATATCTTGCTCAAGAACTTCTGAGAATTAAAATGAAATCTTCAAATGTTATTTCTTTAGATTCATTATTTAAGAATCAGAAATATGTCCTGCCAATGTAATAACAGTAAGTATGATTCATTTTTGAACAGCCGCACCTTAATTATACCAGCTGTTTAAATCTATTGTTAGGAATTTTCGAAAAAAGAAAAGAATGTACACTAAACGTTGAAAAATTAATAGAAAAAATTTAATTGTTAACAAACTCATTCTTTCTGAAATAGCGTTTGTTTTTATTACTCCATTACTAATAATAAAAAGAAAGCTTTATCGATATTATTTTTTTTCAAGTCAGAATATTACTAACAATGTGATTCAATTGAATTTTTTTAATTACAGTGAATAATTCTTGAAATGCGATCTAATTGAATTTATTCATTTATATAAACATTTAGCATCACCAAGTCTTGCTTGTTGATTTACTAATGATCTGTTTGCTAATATGGTTACTTATTTTCTTTTTCTATTATTACTTACTATGTTTCTATTTATTCTTTTCATTGTATTTGACTTGTTTATCGATCGAAATTTTATTCTTATTATTTAGGTTCGTTAGTAAAATTCAAAACTTTGTTAACGAACATGAAAAAAAACTAAAAATACGAATGATGATTACTCAAATTTTTCTAAATAATTCATCTACATTTCTTCGATTCATATTTCTAGTCGATTAATTAGTTACAAATGTGTGAAATGTAGTAAAAAAAGACGTCCAGATCAATTAACAATTGAATTTCTTTCAAACAGTTGTTCTGAATTTTAGTTTCTCTTTCTGCATTGTTTCATCGACTTTGTAATATGTGTCTGAAACATGCATTTTATTTCCAAGATAATCGAATTAATTCAACATTTAGTTCTACCAATGAACTATTAATTCCTATTCACAGAAACACAAGTTAAACAGTTCTTAAACTTCAACTACGTTTTCAGTTAGGCATCGTTTGTTAAATCCTAAAAACACCTTATACATCTCAATGAATAGCAGAACAGAAAACATAACATATCGAACAATAGATATTGTGAACAGAGGCATTGATCCTTGACCAAGATACATTTGAGGATAAGGGAGAAAATAGATAGAAAACCTTGCCGAAAACAAA